TTCAGGACCTAGTCCAGGCAGAATGCTGAGGACACCAACAGGAAGATCAACCTCCCTGCACACTTCTCCCAGCTCCAGACAGGTCCTGAAGTAGGAATGAGAAAAGAAAAATGAAAAGCTGGCTAAAGGAAAACAACAAATATTGATCTCAAATGAAAAATCAAGACAAAATCCCCCTAGGGCCCCTACATATGATTTATGAAAAGTGATGAAGTAACATGAAAACTGGAGCAAGTTAGTTGAAAGCATAAACAAATGCCAACTCAGAAGGCTTCAGTATTGCAGCACAACCTGCAGCCAAGGTTGGAGCAACTTTCCATATAGCCATCAAAAGTGGGTGATTCCTTCAAAACAAAAGAAAAGATATTTTTAGTTATTGGAAATCAAGATAACCATTAAAAGCAATATGAGAAGAACCATTGAACCGTACAGCACTATGTTCTCAAAGGATAAAGATTCCCATCACTAAAAGCAATACTGCATGAGTGAACATAAACGTTTAACACTAAACAATATATCAAACCATGGGAAGCCCTTAAATGGTCTCAAATGATGTAGGAGACGATCATCATAAATCATCTTAATAAATCCACTTTGGAAGCTACAACGCTTAAAATGTTCTGCCCCTAGCATCCATAATAAGTTTACAATCTAATATCAGGAGAAACAATTAAGTGAATTTATATACCAACTAGGCAACTAGGTCCACTAATACTAGATATAGAAGTTAAAGACCAACACATCCACTCACTCTATTTTTTGGTCTATATAGAAAATGAAACTAGCTTTAGGCAAATCAAAGAAGCAAACCAAAGAACAACACCAGGTTAAGCAAATATCTCACACAAGTATTGGGTAAATGGAGAAGAACAATACTTAAGGATGATTTATCAAGAAAACCCGTGCAGTGTGGCCAATTAAGCAGCAAAATTATTAAGACAGAGAAAAAAAAGTGAAAAACAATGCTAACAGACTGGAAGTACCATGGGACAATCAACCCAACAACTCCAATGGGTTCCTTGATCACATGGCTCTTAAATGCCTTTAGAGGAAGGGAGATAGGGGCTTTTTGCTTGGCATCTAAACCTTCAGCAAGTTCTGCATAGTACTCAAAGCAACTGATAACATCATCCTAAAACACACAAATAAATAGGTTAAAATCCAACTAAAAATAATAACATAACAGTTGGATACTTGTTGCAGGCATACCATGTCAGCTTCTGATTCTTTAAGTGGTTTCCCACAATCTACTGTTTCAAGTTTGGCAAGTTCAGGCTTTCTCTCTTTTATTTGGATCATTTAAGAAACAACATTGAAAAGTGGGTCAGACAATAAAAAGGTTGCAGCCATTTCCATCAACAAAGCAAGCATAACAATTGCAAAAACTCATAAACATACAAGTACTACAGTTAAAAGAAAACTCAGTTAGAAATTCTGCTTAAAAGGAGAACACATGTTCAGCAGTTGAACCCAGCAAGCATGGTTATATTAGTTTAAATCAACTACACCTGGTTTATCTGAAGCCATATCGTTCTGTCCACTAAAGTAATGAATCAATGACATGAATTTTTTGTTAAGAGAAAGAAAACAGCTTGCAATCTGACTGTAATCCCAACAGAATATCCATAAATTCCTTTGTAGGAATTTACATATATAAAAGGAAAAGGGTGCGATTTACAAGTTTTGTGAAGTTAGGTTGATCTATCTAGTCCCAAGTTAGCACATTACACTTTATTGCAGAAGCAATGTTCCACTTTGGCAACCATTATTCAGATAAATGAGACTCATTCAGTAAACAGGGGCAAGTTGTAAAGTTAAGCTTCATTTGAGCACTATTTTCCACAATTAGTAGAACTATTTATATCACAATGTTCAATATCATTTTTCAAACAATTCGCCTTGCATGGAAAAGAAAATTCCGAATTTATACTTTTAATTGCAGCCATTACTATTGATTTGATGTTACTTTTAAATTATTTCACCATTCAAACCAAGCTATAATTCTTCTTGTTATGCTTTACATTCTAAAGCAAAGCTCCCAAAAATGAAAAATGCAATCACCGAAAAGGGACTAAAAAAACATTTGAATTCGCAACTTTTACATCAATTCCTTTTAATTCAAGATTGTAATTAGTTAATTGCAGTACAATAATTGTTTGATTTTTTTTAAAAAAAAATCAAAGTAACAGCAACAGCAAATAGTAAAGAATTAAGAAAGAAAAGAAAGAAGAGCAATTACCTTAGCAGCAATGGCACGCAAATACTTAGCACGGACAGCACCTGAAGCTGTGGCCCAATCTTTACCTTTGTTCCGAGTAAGTGCTCTCCGAGCAGCCTCGACTGCAACATCCACGTCTTCAGCAGTCGCCGCTGGAATATCACCTGACGAAAAACAACAACAACAATTATGAACAACTAAACCACAATTTTTGTAAAGATCAAAGGAAGGTAGGGAAAAGAGAAAAGAAACCGATGATTTCTTCAGTAGAAGGATTGATAATTGGGATGTGTTTCTTAAGCAAAGGCTCGGTCCAATTGCCGTTGATGAACAGTTGCCGACTGGGGATAGGGATCGCCATTGATGCTAGAATGTCGTGTGGTGAAGTAAAGTGGATTGATAATCTGATATAAGCCAATTAATAATGTTCCTGATGCCATTATTTGACGAGCCAACTGAAAGTGACTTATTTCCTCCTTTTTTTGCTGTACTTTTTTTTTCAATGGCGATTTTTTGCTTCCCACTGTCTTTTTGCCTTCACAAATCACAATGGCTCCAAAATATTTTGTCGTAATATATAATCTGGTTGTTATTGTTGCTTCCACGTGTTGTCCAGTGAATGTGATAATTAAGGATTTGCTGATTAAACGTCGAAAAGATGCTGAGCAGTGGGAGGACACGTTCTGATGGAAAGTTAAAGCTGTCATTCTCGGCCTTAGATGTGCTTTTTAAGATCCAAAAATTACTGGGTTAGTTTTTTTTTTCTCCCAAGTTAAATTTAGAGTAAACTACAAATTTAGTGTCCTAACTATCATTTTTGTTCTATTTCAGTCATCCAACTATTTTTTTTCAAAATGATATCTGATGTTTAGTTTTGATTTCATTTTGGTCACTATCTGTTAGAAAATTAACGACGATATTGATGTATCATCCTAAGATAAATGTCACATCGTTATTAAAAAGAAAATTTTTAGAAAATGTCATATCAACACTTATTACAAACATAGTTGCTCTAAATATTTGGGAGGCTTCCACCAAAGACAGGCTACTGCAATTAGGGATTGTTGTGGATGTGAATTGTGTCTTCTATGATAACCTTGAAACCTTAAAACCATCTTTTCTTTTATAATTTTTTTGTTCAAAATATTTGAGAGTCTATGTTGGTTATGTCTAACTTTTCCAGGAATGCGATGAATAGGAAGGAGGTGTTGGAGTGGGCTTCATTGTATCTTTGGGGTAAGTCCTTAATTTTCTTATCCTTAGGATAGCCAGGAATGCGATGAATAGGAAGGAAGAGTTGGAGTTGGTCTTTAATTTTCTTTATCCTTAGGATAGTCCGGAATGCTCTTGCTTATTGCATTTAGGAATAGAGGAACGACAAGCAATTTAAGAGACTTGTTAGGAATTGAAAGGTGATTCTGAATATAATTTGTGCGATTGTGAGAATTAAGCTTGCCCATAAGAGTATATATAGGGGAGATGATGTAAATAGGAGCCTTTGTATTTGTTGGGGGTATTACTTTGTAGGGTATCCTCGATTTTTTTGGCTATTTTGTTGACTGTAGCATGTTTCTGCTTTTCTTGTATAATACACATAAACAACTTCATATATGTATATATGCTCAAACTTAGAATTATTCAGAAAGAATAACATTGTTTTCTATTATTAAAACAACTTGATAGATTCATATAGAATTAATTCTTAATCAACTCTCATCAAGTATTAGAGTTAAAATCTTCACATACATCACCGTTATGTTACCCGATGTGTGTTTACATATATATTTGAAATGTATACATAAGTTTTATTTTTAACAAAAGAAATTTATTTTTTAATAAACAAATAATTAAAGAGTACCAATCAGTGTATAGATCACGAGACAAATGGACTGGTTTCGACGCGTACTAAATAATATTGACCAGGACGAGTACTTGTCCTGACAGAGATTTGCCTACTTGGAAGTTTGAGAGGTATCCGTCCGATGGATGTTCAAAGATCAGGTAAGTTGTAAGCAACAAGTGGTTCCGACCGGTTAGATACCGTTCTTAAGACTTATGATGCAAAGATATATATTTTTTTTAAAGAAAGTCTAAAATGTCCAGCAGCCAGCCGTCATTAATAAGCTGTCATTAATTTACCAAAGACACCAAAAAGAAAAGTAAACTAAACACCAAAATTCAATAAAGGATAAAATATATACAAATAATCACTGAATTATATTAAAATAATTTTTTCTATTATTAAAGGTTCAGAAATTACAAAAAAATGTTATTAATTTTGTTAAATTATTAAAAAAATCTTTAAATTTATCTAAATTGATCATTATTTTATACTATAAAATATCATTTTATAATGGTTTAATAAATTTAGTAATTATTTTATAATTTTTAAAATTTTAATGATTAAAAAAAGATTTTGAACATAATTAAATAATCGTCTATGTACTTTACCCTAAAATAAACATGTATGTCTGTCTCTATCGGTTAGATGTAGCCAGCTTCGTGGAAGATCGGTGATTGATCCATCCATCAATGTTATCATCTTCGTACGGTTCAAAATCCATTCAACATTGTCTTAAACCGAAAGCCAAAAAAGAAGGTTCTTATCTGTATCCTCTCCCCCGTGTCTTTTGACTATCAACAAATTATCATAATATTTAATAAAAAAGGATTTTTTTTTCCTTTCCACCCACAACAAGACAGGAAATTTCGTATTGTTTCATAAGAGAAAGAGGGTTGCATCAAAGAAAAAAAAATATTGCAGCTTTGAATGGCAGACGGAGTTTGTTGATGTTTTGAATGGCAGACGGAGTTTGTTGATGTGCTCTCTTCTCCTCTCTCAAAGCACTACTAAGCATCCTTGTGCTTTGTATATACCCAGAAACCAAAGAAAAAGGCTAAAAAATGGATTTTTACGGACACCCTTCTCATTCTTCTACGTCTTCATTTAATTTGTTCAAAAATTTCATTGAAAAGGTTAAAGATTCTTGCAGTTTCTCTGTTTCTGCCATCATTGGGAACGTCTTCTCTGCCATCTTAACTACCTTCTTTGCGTTAGGTTGGTTTATCGTTGCTGATCGAATTTATAACCATTTTTTATTGCAAAGGCTATTTAATTCTTTACATATTCATGGCCCTTGACGTTGGTTTTGTAGAAGGCTGAATTCTGCCTGTTATTAAACAATCAATCTGGTTATGTTGCATGTTGGGATTAAATTGTCTTTTATAAGTACTTGCAAAGCGTACCTAGGACTGATATGTTGTTTGGTCATAGTATTAAATTTCGTTGTGGTTGCTGATGTTGTGCCATGTGATGACCTTAAGTAACGTTATGATGAGATCATTATTCTGCTTTGGGATCGCAATTTAGTACTATGTATTTGGTTTCATAAAATTTGACATGTTGAACATATTGATTTTGGTGGGAGATGGAGATTGACATTTTTGTGTGTGCAGCGGGGACCTTGTTAGGGGCCTTGACGGGGGCTCTAATAGGACAAGAGACGGAGAGTGGGTTCGTTCGAGGGGTTGCAGTTGGGGCTGTCTCTGGAGCAGTTTTATCGATCGAAGTCTTCGAATCTTCTCTTCTCCTTTGGAAATCCGACGAATCTGGGATCCGATGTTTGCTTTACTGGGTGAGCTGTTCTGTTTATCATCCTGCTGGGTGACACAAAACTAGGAACTCTTTATATAATACCAATGAACAACAATTTTCGACCTGTGAGGCTGCGAGTGATGGAAAACATTCTTTTATGCAGATTGATGTGATTGCAAGCCTTCTAAGTGGAAGGCTCGTTCGAGAACGAATCGGTCTGGCCATGCTGAGTGCAGTCCAAAGTCAGGTAACATATATTCCTGTACTCTACAAAAAAAGATACCATCAAAGGGGCAATTCACTTACGATTTCAGTTTCGGTTACCAGATGGGTGCTGCCGAGCCGGAAATAACATTCGAGGAGGTGCAAAACATCTTCGACACCGGTGGTGCTAAAGGATTGGCTACACAAGTGGTTGAAAGAATCCCAAAGATGATAATCACAGATAATAACAATGTAGATGCTTCTGGGGAGAAAGTTTCATGCTCAGTTTGCCTTCAGGTCTACTTTATTTTGCAATCCATTACAAGTAAAACTCAACTTGCTGCCATTGATGAGAAGCTTATTTGAGTGTGTTTTATGGTTCATAATATGCAGGACTTTCAGGCTGGAGAGACGGTGAGAAGCTTGCCGCAATGTCATCACATGTTCCACTTGCCTTGCATAGATAAATGGCTTCTTAGTCATGCTTCTTGTCCATTGTGCAGAAGGGATATGTGATGTTATTTATTGTAAACTGCACGATTAGAAGAGTTGTTTATATTTTATATATATTTTATACCATTCTTACGTAATTAATGTCTTGGTTTGTCAAATTCAAATGCTTGCCTACTATCGTTTCTCCTGTGAATGGTTGTTGCAACTTGCAATGCTAATAGAGTCCATGACATGTCCTATGGCCATAATAATATCCAGCTCCTTTGTATGAATCAGAAAACAGAATTCATGACATGACATCCCATCTGGAAATCTAGACAACAAAAGAGAGTTTCAACATGAACCTCGTATTATTGCAACATGTAAACATAAATTCTAGGGAGTTCCGTTTTCAGGGATATGTCGACATAATTTACAAAACCCAAAATCTCTAGAATTAGAGCAAGCAAATATACTGGGCTTATAAACTAAATAGAGTGTCTTCTCAGGTTCAAATGTTACATTGTACATAAAAAAAATACATATGCAATAAATAAATAAATATTAACTAAAGGCTGCACCTTCTCCTTTCTACGTTGATTAGAATTGAGCACATCGCATAAGAGGAGGATTGTGTGCTACAAACAACAGTAGCAGTTGCTAACCTTGTCGACTGACATTAAGTCGTGGCAGAGGGAGCCAGAGTTTTTGCAGGCGGGTTAACTCCACCTCCCTTGAGGGACAATGAAGGGCAATTTACTGAGCTGGCTTTGCTTGCAAGATTCAAATCGAGATATAAAACTACGACCGTGATGTCATCATGGAAATGCCTGCGTATGCCTCGCTCAATCTTCTTCAGATCTGAGTATCGCATTTCTCTCTTCTTAGCAGCTTCTTGCAAGGCAGCTTTCACAAGCCACCTAGCAATCCCCTGTGAGAAGAAGCACAAAACAATCAATAACAAATACCTTTGTCCATGCTCTTCACCGACAGGACTCCTAAAAAATAATATGATTATTGATGCATTAAGAGATAATATATATATATATATATATATCCACAAGATATTCATACCTCTTCTGCCATTCTATAACAATTACAATATCACTTATATGACAAGACAAACAAAATATGTGGGCTTGATTGCTAAAGGCTCCATTAAGTTATCTCCAAACCTAGATTATAAGGTCAGAATTTAATTTTGTTTTACATTTTCACGCATATATCTCGCCATCGAATCAAGGACAAGTTTTTACTGAGACTTCTAAAGCTAAGAAACAGTCAATGCAATCAAGGATAATCTGCTGCTGTGGCACCAGAAGTCCAGCGGTACAAAATGAATGTTCAAGTATTGATATCACACTGAATGAATCAACATATAGAAAGTTAAGAAAAACAAAATTAACGAGCTCCAAGCAGACACAAATCGAAGCTCAACTTGCAGTGGACAATGATGCTGCTTTATGTTATGATGAAGTCACAACTAATTGAAAAATGCTGAAATGTGCTCAATTTAGCCAATTGTCACCATACACCACAATTCTTGCAGTTAATAAGTATATTATAACATAACAGTACAACCATACTAATTCGCTATTAAGAGAAGTGTATCTTACATTGCGTGGATGATTTTGGACTATGTCAACTGCATCCTGATTGGTGAGATGTTCCCATAGCCCATCAGAAGCAAATATGATAAACCGGTCATAAGGTTGCAGTTCATGCGTAGATATCGATGGTTCAGAGCTCAAAATTGGATTTCTAAAAGCTTCACGAATATGAAACTTTTGATATAGAGGCGCCCCGTTGTATTCAGCCCTTTTAAGATAGACATCACCAATAGATCTAGAGACCTGCAACAGAAAGGTTTGGTTAATGTCCCATGTATATTAGGCCACATCACATCTCAGAATATATATTATGCATTGCTGGATAATGGAAAATGATATGAACAACAAACTTTGTTAAAAATATAGCTTAACCAAATGAAAAGTGCAAAATCCCGGTTTTCACACAGGATTGAAAGATGAGATCTCCTTCACTTAGAATGTTAAATTTTGCCTAGGTTAAGTTTACATTTTAGTTCTTTCAATCTATTTATAGAATTACCGTATGTATATTACCGTATCCAACCAAAGAACTTACCTGTATCCGGCCCTTTACACGCCAAACATTATGTTTTAAAACTACAATATTCAAGTCATCAGGATGCAAAGAACGCATCTCCTGCCTGACAGACTCTATTCCTACATTATGCTCAGATGACAGTTGGATTGCTAGAACCTCCCCAGTAGCCTTGACAAGCCTTCCCAGAACAGCACGAGAGTCGCCAACGTTAGCAATGTAAAGGGTCCCATTACAAACAACACCCACCAGGCAGCATGATCCCACGGCTGCAATCTGGGGTTTCATAAGCCACTGTTTTTCAACAATGGAGAAAAATCCCTCTTCTGTTAATTGATATGCTTTCTTTATAACATCGACAGACATTGATTGCTGCTCCGCAGAAAACCCTGCAAAACATATCTTCAACTGAGTCACCAGGCATCAAAAAGGTTCTGAACCTAAAAAGTTGGCAGTCAATGAACTTGTAGCATATGTTTAATAGCTCATCCTACAGACTGCTATAAATACAGGTTTAGGCATTAGAAATCTGCTAGGCAGGGTAAATGTTACAGGTTCTCAACCAAGGTCTCTTACTCTTTAGATGCTGGAATAGTTGATCATTGATATAACGTGATGTCTCAGGGCCTCCATGACCATCGTATACTCCTACAAAAGTACCAAATGGACCAGACTCGAGAGTGCTCAAGGGGCCAGATTCAATGTGGCTCTGATCCTCAAGCAGATTGTTAGCCTGGACAACAGCCATGGAAAATTCACCAGTCAAGTGTTGCCCTTTGTCTTTGTACCAAAGGAGCCCATCTTGCCGACCTGCTGCATCTGAACCTGCATGGACAGAATGGTCGGAAGATTGCAGACAGCAAGCCCTCAAAAAGTTGACCAACCTTGATAACATCTTTCATCTCACCATAGCCAGCATCCAATTCCTCCTCAACATCCAAAATTGGATGCAGTAAACCCACCAAAAATCAATATCTGAATCAATAAAAACTCCCAGCAGAGTCCTCTCCTGCACATAAGCACACACACACACCCCTGTTAAATCAACATACAATTGAACAAAAAGTAACTCACAGGTCACAACTAATCGTCAAATCGATCCCTTGACGACCAATAAAACAAATTATGACATGAAAACAAGAACCCAAATTCAATTCAGCCAAAATTATAAAATGAAGGAGGGAAAAACTTTAGCTAATACCGCCAATTAAGTTAATGAATAAAAAAAAACAAAAAAATGACAACAGTTTTGACCAAAAAGAAAAGTGAAGAACAAAACAGAGAAAGTCAAATCTACTTTTTACATTCCCACAATTGAACAAAACAATCAAAATAGGTTAATACACACGAAGTTCCACATCTATAAATGCTCAGTAACTAATTAGAATAATCAATCGCATAAAAAGAGAGAGAAACTCACAGTATAATTCAGACGTTTCGCACTGTAGTATTCAGCTACTGAATGATAAAGAAGATGAAATCGACGGAGATCTAAAGGGAATAGAGCAGTACATGTGGGGCTTTGAAAGCGTTAGATCTGTTTATCCATCAAATCAAACACTCCCAGATTGATAGGGTTTTTAAAATATCGCTTTGGGGTTTTCTTCTTCTTCTTCCCACTATTTTCTTGCAAGCAAAAAAGTGTAGGAATCAAGAATCAGAGTGGAGCAGAGTATATGAAATGAAAACTGGGTTTGGGTGTTCGATCTTTCCCCGTAGAAAAAAAAAAGGCTGACGAAATGAAAACGATCGAAGCAAAGCGATGGCTGAATGATGGGTATAGCCTGCAATGCATACGACAGCTATGGGCTCCACACAGGGACATATATTTATATAAATATTATCACTAAAAATCTACTACGTTTTCATTTTTATGGGCAAACTACGTAAATGGTCATTAATGTTTAAGTAAATTTTTTTTCACTACTAATGTTTCAAAAGTCACAAATCTACTAACGTTATTGTTTGTTATAAATTGGACACTCATCATTAACTGCAGTTAACAAGAGTGACGAAATACACAGCTGGACCATTTAAAGCTTATTTGGATAGGGTTAACCACAACATGGAGTGTTAAATGTTGAACGCAATAGCATGGGTTATTGCTTCATCTTCTTCCTCTTTCTCACCTTCTGCATCGATAAAAGAATATATGTTGGCAAAAGATTTCAAGCTCGAGAATTGAAGATAAGGCCTGGTATGAACTTGGAAATGCCTAAACACAAGCTTCTCTTTCTTGGGTAGTTAACACAAGCAAAGAGAAATTATAAGAAATAAAAGGCTACTCCGTTAACAATAGATCTTGAGTTCTTGTTAATGTCTTTGCTAATCACTTAGATCTCGTTATTTTGATTTATTTTTCTTAAATAGATGTAGATTTGTTCTTAAAAGCAAAATGGCAAATATATGCATCGATGGGATCTTGAAGGAGCTTCTCAACAATGGTCTTATCCCTAAAACCAAGATCGTTTGTACTCTGTGGTTTCTTTATGAAAGTTTATTGTTAATGGTTTGAGTTTTATTTGTGGTTTTGATTTGTTTAGGTTGAAAACCAATAGGATGTCATCAATTTCGACGAGATCCTACACCTCGTCCTATGCAAGACCGATGCCTTTTATGGTTGCCCATTGTGATCTTGGAATGGAAATTTCGGTTAAGAGCAATAGCATGGGTTTCGTGGACTGGGTTTACCCTAAAAAAAGAATCGGGTGCAACCTGTAGAGTAACAATAGTCAACCCTGTTTAAGTAAGTTTTAAATAGTCCAGATGTGTATTATGTCAATCTTGTTAACGGAGGTTATCGGCAAGTGATCAATTTGTTACAAACGATAGCGTTAATGACCGATTTGTGACTTTTGAAGCATCATTGGTGAAAACGAAAATTTACTCAAACATTAGCGACCATTTACGTCGTTTACCCTAACTTTTTTTTTTAAATTTGACAAAAGGGTAAATTACAATATTGATCACTAAATTTTGTAACTTTTTTCACTTAATCAAAAAATATAATATTTAAACACTTTCGTTCTTATGAAATTAAGATGTGATTACTTAAGGTTAATTATTGTTAAACTTTTAACTAATTGTTCACGTAACATAATAAATATATAAATTTAAAAAAGATAAACGGCACAAAATATCACTAAATATTAACTCCCCTTCGATAAAAATGTCTATTTTCTTCTTTTCCAAACGGTTTTTTCTTCCATTGTCTCTTTGTTTCTTTCACATAAATAATCATGGTTGTTGCTGCCATTAATCGATATCTTCGGGTGGTAAACTTGCAAGCTTCATTAACTCGTTGTTCACCTCACCGAAGAAGATGATATCTCTAATGTTGTAGGACTGCTTTCTTTTTGGGCATGGGACTTGAACTCGACGGGTTCTGATTCGATTTGATCTGATCGGCTCGGGTTTTTTTTTAAAAAAAAAATCGGATTCAGTCGGGTCGGATTTTTTTAAAAGTGTGATGTTCGGGTCGGATCGGGTTTATGGTGAAAATACTCGACCCGACCTACAAAAATATAATTTTATCTTATATATTTAGGAATGTTTACAATAATATCCCTCTATATATAATTTTTTTCAATTAAGTAATTATTTTTATTGAATAAAAATAATATTTTTTATTATTGCGGGTCGGTCGGGTCGAGTTTCTAAATTATATATCGGGTCGGGTGAAATTTGTTTTGGTCAGGGCGGGTCTTAGGTGGAAGATCCCTTGTTCTTGGGTCGGGCCGGATGGACCAAAAACCCAACCCATGTCTAACCCTATTCCTTTTGTGCCGCGGCAAAAATAAAAAATTACTTAAATATTATTGATTATTTTATGTAGTTTACTATTTTTAATTTTATATATTTATTATGTCACGACAATAATTTGTCAAAATTCTAATGACAGTTAATTCTCAGTGATCACTTCTTAATTAAATAAAAATAAAAATAACCACATATTATATTTTTTAATTCAATAAAAAATATATAAAATTAAAATAAAAGTGATCAATCATATAGTTTACCTTTAACAAAATTACACGTGTTGCATTTCAATGATATATAATTTTTATAATTATTTTTCATTTTTTAATTTTATTTAAATATAATATTTTATTTTTATTACTATTTAAATAAAATAATATTATCAAAAAAATAATAAATACTAAATTAAATTGTAAAAATAAAAAACAAACTTAAATTAATTTAAGATTAAATAGAATTTTAAAAATCAAATTAAATAAAAAAATTAAAATTAAAAATACTTAACACTTTCATTAGATAAAATTAACCTGATAAATCTAGATTAAAATATTATTAATATTCTATAATTTTATTGGATGATGGTTCTTTAAATGTTAAAGATAATTCAAAGCATTTATAAATGTAAAAATATATTTATGGTAAAAAATTAAATATTAAATTAACAAAAATAAGTTAAAACTGGTATAATACATTATAATTGGATGAACTCTTTTTAAACAACAGTTATATTTTGTGTAAAATAAATATAAACTATATATATTAAATACACTTTTAATAAAAGATACCTAATCAGGTTAGATATATAATTGCATATTTATCATTTTGGGGCTAAGGTTCCTGCTCCCGGCGCCGTCCTGAATCCAGTTAACGAGATAGGTGTCCTGAAAGGTAAAGGTACACGTGTGCATCCATGTTAACATGCAAGTGGCTAGTATCGTGTGGATCCAAAATTAATATCATTGGCTGTTTTTCATGTTACCAATAATAATAAATAGTACCACACGTGTTAGGACCTCTTCCATCTTCCTAAAATATAGACAACTAAACTATCAAATTACTCTTCAATTGGACTATCCATGTGCTTTTGTATAATCAAAGATTGTTTTTGGGAGGAACGTGGTTGTCGCGGTTTTTTGTGGTTTATTTTTGTGGTTTAGAAATTAGATGGAAAGTTGTCATCCATAATTTTGTAAAGAAAGTAAACACTGATTGATATGAGGAAAATGATAACAGTAAGAAAAATTGAGAGAGATTAAGATCAAAGGAGAGAGTCTCTTATATATATATTTATATTTTTAGTGTTGGTGTTAGACTTAGGATAATGATAATTATTTATAGGTCGACATGATAAGTAAATATGATCATCATATAGCATATTTAGTTGGTAATAGTATTGACAACAACCATGTCAAATGACGGAACAACCTGAATGATATTAAATTATAGACTTTTAAAAACTCTGAAAGTCTTGATACGTAAAGGATTGACAACAGAGATGTAATTTATGAATGAGATATAAATAAGGTACAATATTTTTCTTCCATTGGACGAGAGAATGTCATAAAATGGTTTGAATAAAGACTTGCGTAAGAGGTTCATGTTGTTCTTGTAGAGCATGATATAGAAGGTTACTAGCAAAAGGGAAAAGTTGTTGTTAATGGAATAGAGTTACAGATAGGAGATACTAGAATTTATGACGCTATGGAGAGTACGAGTCAGTTGTAACTCAAAGATAAGCACATGAAATTGACGAGGCTCATGGCCAAGTCCCGAAAGTTCAAACGGTTGGTTGAGACGATAAAGAGAGATGCAGAGGAGGACAAGGACTTTGGAGAGACAATGTTATAGATGGTTTGGCTCCAAATTCGAAGGATCTTAACACTCTTGAAAAGGTGATGAGAAAGCAACAATATCTCAATGCTATGTTTGGGCTATGGATAAATTTCTATGGCCTTAGCGGAGGTATCTCAATGTTATTTGTATATAACAAAAGTATATCGTCTCTCTTGATTGGATGATAAAGAGGAGATAACTCGACGCCCTTAGAGAAGTGTTAGAGTTAGGTAAAGGCCTCTTGACACTCATAAAAGCAGCGAAGAACATTCTGTTGATGAATGGAGACATCTTAATACTTTTAAATGATTCCTTCAACTAGAAAGAGGTTTGGGCTATGGATAAATTTCTATGGCCTTAGCGGAGGTATCTCAATGTTATTTGTATATAACAAAAGTATATCGTCTCTCTTGATTGGATGATAAAGAGGAGATAACTCGACGCCCTTAGAGAAGTGTTAGAGGTTAGGTAAAGGCCTCTTGACACTCATAAAAGCAGCGAAGAACATTCTGTTGATGAATGGAGACATCTTAATACTTTTAAATGATTCCTTCAACTAGAAAGAGAGGTAATTAAAACCATCAAAGAAACTCTCAATGAATAACGTAGGCATCTTAACGATAAATATATAGCAAAAAGTTATAGTTTCCTAGAGAAATACTATAAATAAAGTAAATGCATCTAACGCTTTGTTTTTTTGAAGGGAAGGTTGATGCCATATTATTTTAAAAAATTATTTTATTTAAAATAAGAAAATAATATAATGTATTTAATTTATCATTATTTTTTTAAAATAATTTTTTTATTTGAAATAAATAAAGTATGAACACATATAAAGTCAAATGTAAAAAGGAAATCAATTGGTTGAGCTACAAATTCCAGTCCCACGTGTAAGGCAAATATTGTTTTTTATTTATAAATCACATTAATTAATGCTCTCGATTTTTATTTTTATATTTTAAGTCCAAGACACTCTATCAATACGTAGACAAGCAACCTCTGACCTATGTGCTTATTTTTATTTTTGGTTGGAAAAATAAATAAATCTTTTAGTCGCATTTCTCAAAGCAGGCTTTATGACTTTTTCATTAAAGGTCAACTCGTTTGGTAGGCTATTTGAATAAAATTTGTACTCCTTTTGATGCATATAGATTATTAATTGATTTGATGAGATGAATTTTTATTTTTAATAAAATAAAAAAATAAATTTTAATATTACAAAAAATAAATTTAATTTAAGTATTTCAAAATAAAATTTTATAATATTTAATTTTAATTAATAAAAAAAAGTATAACAAGTGAAAGTATTGGAAAATTTTTGATAAATTTGGAGACTTAAATGATAAATTAATCCATATGTTATTGAGAAAAAAGTGAAATCAATTGTTGATTCGTACATGTGTAGACTTTAACAATGTGGATAACGTTAATGTCCGAACCGGTTGGGCTCTTTGTGGGCTTGCGAATATTTCAACCAAAATGTGAAATATTTTTTCTCGAATAGATCACATCTTTTCAAAATTTGTTTTGGAATTAAAATGATAAATATTAAAATATTCCTTTAATCAAAATTGCTTATTATTTTTAATGTTTTATTAGGTAAAAAAATTTCAATTGTTCACAATGTGAAATTCCTATAAATACACTATAAAACTTACTATTTAAACACAATTTAAAACAACTTAAAAACTATTTAAAGTTTTTTTCTCTCCTTTAGTTTTTATAATAGTAAAAGATTGTACTCTATTCTTTAAATTTTTTATCTTTTTCTCTTACCATAAAATTTTATGATAAATTTAGTATCTAAATATTAATAAGAAGACATAATTATCTCATAATCATTGAAAAATGATGATTTATCTATAGTATAAATTAAGTGATTGAAAATAAAAATAAAAATAAAAGAGAAAAATTATTTGAGGGCATATATTAAATATTGTTCTTTACAATATTTTATAAGAATATGTACCCTTTAGAATTTAACGAATATTTTTACAAAATATAAAAAAATAATCTAAAAATATTCAACTTAAAGAGAGAAACGAAGATAGTAGAAACTATAAATGATTTTAAAATGTGTTTCAGAAAGATATTATGCATGATATTTATAGTACCAAGCATGACACAGAAGGAGAAAAAATAAATATTATAATGATAAATAAATCAAAATTATGAAAATCTTTTACTAAAAACTAGATATTATTTTATGTAAATAAATTGATTTAATTTTTTTTATAAAATGGTAGAATTCTTTTGAAATATACTCAATTACAACATTTTTCATTGGATAATTGATCATTGATTCATCCTTGTCTCTCATATCAGCGGTGGTTTTATCTTCTTCATATATTCTAGATTTTAAAAATGATGTGATACTATATATACTTTATTAAAACATTACATTATGTTTAGCCCGCGTGAACATGTATTAATTTTTTCGATCATTTATCTAAAAGCACCTCTTCAAATTTACAAGCACTGTATATACTCAAACTCTTTGAACGTGTTATTATTTTTGAACCATGCTGAAATTTACACATACGCGCACACACATGTAAAGTTTAGTTATTTTTTATGAAATAAACGTTGAGTTTAAAGATGGACGGAAAGAAAGGCGAGTAGAGACAGTCGTTCCCCTGTAAATTAAAACTCTATATATTTTAGATATTTTTTTTGTATTTTCTATTTAAAATGTATTTTCGTTCCCTGAAAATTTTATAAGTTAGTATCCATTTAAAATTTTATAAGTTTATCTACTAACCTAAAATATTGTGTCTGTCTCTATTTGAATTCATATCCAGGATAACGAAAAAGAATAATATGATGTTTTTATAATTCAACAGTCGTAGACGTCATCGTCGACGGTTAATATGGTAACCAACAATGATTTCTATCAAAAATTGAGTTTGAAGAAGAAAGGGACAAAGAATGACCAAACTGATACGATTCAAAATATCAATATTAAATTATTTTAAATTAAGATCAAATTGATAAGATTTAATATTCAAATTGTTATGATAATAGATCACGTTATATATTTAAATAAAAGTGAAAAGTTAAAATCAAAATATAATTTTTTCAAAAAATAATAAATTACTCAAATAAAACATGAAAATAAATAAAATACCAAATAAATAATTTACCCTTCGTTGCACCATCTCTATCTCTATTGTTCATTCAAACCAATCTAAGTGTATGCCTAATTTTGACCAATGAAATATTAGGATCCATAGTTAAACGTCACTAAACTTTATGAGCTATTTTTTAATGTAAAACAATCAATTAATAATAATAATTTATATGTAAATTACAATTTTAATATATATTACAAGTCACAATAATAATCAATAATTTATATGTACGATGGAACTAGTATAAGTGTGATTATATTCACTAAAAATTTTAAATCCTTATATAATTTATGTATTTATATAATCTAATATCACGCCTTAACATTTTATAATTTTGTATATTTTAATTTAAAACATAATTTTTTAAATTCATGTATAATAGTATATTAGTATAAGATTTTACTTACATTCTTGAACTATTATTTTTAATAAACTATTCAATTCTTTTTTAATCAAATGAAAAAAACAATAATACGGAAAATGATTATGAAGGACATTGAATGAATTAATATGCTTACATGGCAAACTTTGATTGGACTATAACCTATATACCTGAAAAAACAAATACTAACACTAGTTTTAGTTGTAGTTAAAGTAGATAAATAAATCACAAAGCTAAAACGAATTAGGAGAACCGATCCTAATCAAAGTTTAACAGCAGTAAAATTAACTCAAACCCTCTATTTAAGCGAAACAGCTTTGGAGAAATCAAAATAAAAAAGAAAATAATAACAACAAAAGAAAGAGAAAGAGAAAAGAAAGTTTTACGTCGCATTTCCTCGTTTTTTTCTATTTTTTTCTCTCTCTTCGCCGAATTTTATGGGTCGATAAACTTGTCGACTTTAGGGGGGAAAATTAAAAATCCAATTTTGTTTAATTAGGTTCGATATGGCTGCAAATATTAACACGGCTAATTTCAATACGTCGGCTGCGGTGACAGCTGTGAATCACTCCAGTAGCCCTAACCAAACATATCCGGCCACGAGACCGGGTTCTTCGTCGATCACGGCTGTTCCTTCATTGTCCTGGTCCTATTCATTGTCGTCGCCGTCAACTGAGAATGAGAATGTTGGGTATAATAGCAATGCCGGTAAGAAACCGGCTTGGAACAAACCTAATAATAACCATGCCGAGTCGGGTTCGGATATGGAGGCTTGCAATTGGCCCCCATTGTCTGGGTCGGCTAGGTCTCTTTGTAAATCATCTTCAGGTTCAGCTTCATTGGATGGATCATCTTCTACTTCTTTTGTCCCCGTTTCTCAGGTTTGCTTTTCAAATATTTAAGCTATTTTTTAAATCGTTTTCTTTTTACCATTTAAATTATTCTGATAACAACTGATAAATAGATGTTCTTAACTCATCTAACTGAACCAAGTTAAAATAAAGTTAGTTTTATGATATAGGTTAAATGCAAAGAATCTAAATTGGCCGGAGCAGAAAATGCTAGGATTCTTAATTCATAATTCAACATCAGAGTTTACTTGAATTATTATCTATTTGAAGCAGTTTTGAATATTAGACTGATATGTAAGAATATAGGGAGCATTAGAGATTGTCTTATGCAAAGTTATATGTGAACCTTATATATCTATCTATCTATCAATCAATGTATATAGTTTTGGATTTTGAGGATACTTAAGACTTGACTTTTTGCAATGTTGCCTAAATTGTAGGGGAGTAGAACTGTATCGTCTTCCTCTCCTCCACAGAAACAAGTCATGAACAATGGAAATTTGAATTCAAATTCTACCCCAAACCATACAATGCCTGTACGCCATAGGTCAATGAAGCAAAATAGCAGTTTCTCTGCAACTAATGGTGGCCTTTCACGGCCACTACCTCAAGGTCCAATGGTTGACACACCTCTCAATGGCCCTTCTTCTAGGGACCATGTACAGAGAACTGTATTTGTGCCTTCTAGTGGTGGAAATGATCAATGTAACCTCCAAAATTCATTCCGACCTCGTAATAGTGTTGCACATCCACGAGCATACGGATCTCACCATTTAAATTATGGAGGAAGGCCCAATCAGGACCATGGAAACCAAGATTGGAATGGTCGGAGTTTTATTAATAGGGATGGTCATATGCTGCCAAGAGGTGTTCCTAGGTTTATTAGGCATCCACCGCCGCCACCTCCCCCACCTAATACTGGAGCATTTTTTGCTCCTCCTCATGTTCGCTTTGGCACCCCCATGGGCTTTCATGGTAAGATGGACTCTTTTTCTTTATTATTATTATTATTATTTTGGGTGGTGGGGGATGGTTGTGAAGAAGAGTTGCACTAATATCTGTGCCTTCTTGCAGACTATTCATCTCAGTTTTATTTAGTTCCAGCCCCTCACCCGGAGTCATATAGAGGTGTCCCATTTTTTCAACCAGTGTCCCCGATGTTTCTCCCTCCAAATCTTCAAGATCAGCAGTTACATGCTAGGATAATGAATCAAATAAATTATTATTTCAGGTAATGCTTTGTTTATGTGTTAATTTAGGTCAGTTTAATTAATTGAATGTTGGCATACAAGGTTATCGAGAAACTAATTCCCTGTTTATTGCAGTAATGAAAACCTAATCAAGGATATATTCTTGCGGAAGAACATGGATGACCAAGGCTGGGTTCGTATAAAATTGATTGCTGATTAGAAAGGTTAGTTTTCAGAGATTTTGAAGTTGTTTCTTTTGCGTGATTGTGATATATCATGTTATTAGGGCCTTCTTTACCAACATCTTAAGTTCATAACATCTATTTCTACTTGTATCATCTACAATTCCTTAGTGGCAACTCTATATGGTTATCATGAGAAAATACCCGTATTAGATTTCTATAAATGCGCTTATCACTGGCTCATGCTATGACCTTTTTTGTGTGTTTTATTTTGTTCTAAATATGTTTCTTATAAGTGTGCTTATCGTCAGCTCACTCTTTTGATATTGTACGGACTATTTTGCTTTATTAAGTTATACTTTTCTTGTGGCCAATTCTTTTGAGTACAGATTAGTGTCATGTTCATGCCTCTTGCTTTCTAGATATGGGTTGAACAGTAGCGAACATAGAACTTTTCTTGTGGATAACTTTTGATGCTATATAGGCAAAGTTAACTTTCTCTTGATGGTTTCCATTTTTTTCAGATTGTAGCTTTGACAAATAATATCCAGCTTATAGTAGATGCTCTTAAAAATTCAACTGTTGTGGAAGTGGAGGTAAGTTTTGGAATTAAATCTTTGGTTATATTTTCATCATTGTGTAATGAAACGATCTGATCCATCTTCTAGATGTACACACACATATCATGCCTCGTACATGTTTACTCTAGAGGATATGATTTCTTTTGTTTTTAATCACATTCCCATTTAAATTTCAGGGTGATAAAATAAGGAGGCGGAATGATTGGAAGCGATGGATGTTACCACCTTCTGTTCAGTTCACTACAAAACCTGGTCAAGATGTGCTGGTGACCGGGTTTCAAAGTATTTCATTGGAGCAAGGAACCACTAATAATCAAAGTGGTTCGATGAGTCAAGAAGATGCTCGTGCTGGTAGATAGAGTATGTGTTTTGACACATGCGAAACACATACAGAAGAAAAAGAACAATTTTTTAATATTCTTTCTTTTAGGAAGGAAAATTTTGAATTTTTTTATATTTGGAGCTAGTGACACAAGATTGTTATGGCTGTATGTATTGGTTTTTACTCTTTTTTCCCCCTCTCTTGGTATTCTTATTGGGGATTTTTTTTTTCAAGTTCGGATACCAAATTGATGATATTTGAGCCAGGGATAGGAATTTATCTAGAATATGATGGGTTTCAACTCGATCCGATAATGTTTGGTATAGGTTTGGATCAGATGAGATCTTTCTAAATGAATCAAGTTTGGGTGGAGGGGTACACTTCTCAAGAGTTAGGTTGATTTGTTGATTTTCCTAACTTGAGCCCAAAAATCATATTCTTAATTTTAAAATATATTTTATATTCAAATTTGATCTATGACTGACCCATTGCGATATCTAACTTGAACCCTTAACTTTTTAAAGAATTTTAAATAAATAAAATAATATTTTAAAATTTGAATATATATTTATTCATAAGTATAAGAGATGCAATTTGTTCAACCCATCTTATCATGTAAAAATCACATTTTATTCTGTTTTTAATTTTATAATTAAATAAAAATAATATACTTTTACTATTAAATGATTGTTCAATTTATATTAATCTGGACTTAAAAATTATATCTAATACAGGCAATGCCATATATTAAAAGTAAACTAAATAGATTAGCAAAAAGAAAACGTCAACTACATAATTTCACATATTTAAAAAAAACAAGGCTTAAAAATTCAATTATCTGCATTTGTTTTTACAAATTTCACCTTTTAACATGTAAATTATCTTAGTATATTTTTCACGTTGTGTTTTAATTATTTTTACTTTATTTTCGCATATATAAAAATTAAAAATAAATAACGCTTAAAGAATGTATTTGTTTTTCACGTTGCGTTTTAATTATTTTCATATTATTTTTTTATAATTGATTAACTCTATTAGAGATGGGGATAAATTTAAAGAAAATTGTGTAGTCATAACTTGTTAATGATCATGTTATTTTTACACGTTTCCAAATCAGTAAAACTGTTAATATATCCATATCACGATTATTTAATTTTTCATCCCATGTTATATTTTAACTATTTTTCATATTGTATCGTATTTGAATTCATTCCATATATATGTTGCATGATTTGTTTAATTCAATTTTATCTTTAAAACTCAATTATTTTCAAAAAATATTACATGTACCACAATATTTTCTAAAAAAAATATTTTAGCTTGTGTATTCTCTAGTTATACTACTGTGTGCACATCCATTCCTTTCATCATCATCATCATCATCATAACAATAACAAAAACAATAATAATAATAATAATACAGACTTAATGTGGCAAAATTAATACAGATAAATGAGGAAGAGGGAAAGCTGGTAAGAGAAGTTTATTATGTCAATGCCAACAAGAAGATGACAGTTGAAAGAACTTAACAATGGTGTTCTTTAGCCTTCACATTAAATTCAACTTACATGTAAATTAGAAAAAATGCAAAACAAGATTTATTCCAAATTAAATCTATCTTCTCAATCACACAAACACCAGTGGAAGAAATTCATTCTTGGATTCAACATAACTTCTTATAAAATGTTTCCACAATCCATGCTAGCAGCATGAAACGAAACCGGAGAGGAGACAACCAAGTGACATCAACTAGCAACTATCCAAGTCTTAGAAGTTAGAATTGCACTTTATTCCGCTCGGGATTGACCGGCTCGGGAAGAGAGGATGATGCCGACAATGAGTCCATACAGAGCCAAAGCCTCCGCAAAAATGAGGATAAGAATCATTCCAACAAAAAGCTTTGGTTGTTGGGCATTGGCCCTGAAAATAAATGCACGGGAAAACTAAATCAAACTATGTCCATTCTCACACTTGACATGATCTAGACTCCCAAGCTAAAGCTAAAAACTTTTGCAATAAAAGTCACGCTTGTAAATAGAGAAGTAACCGAGAGAGTGCGTACCATCCATAAACGGGATGCAATCCAGAGAAAATACCAGAAATTTTCAATTCATTGGCAACAATTCCGAACTTCTCACAAGACTCTTAAAGGTGATTCCCCCCCTTTTTTTCTACATGCTATGATCTCATCAATAACTTCCAAAATACCTTAATACTTTCAAGTGAGAAGGATAAATTTTAACTAATTTAGACTCAAATTCACTCCCTAGAACATTTCTCCCCTATTACTTCATTGAAGTTTCTAAGTTAAAAGCCAACCATATGGCTTGCAGCTACAATCGATGGATATATTAATGTAACATCCCAAATATGAGGATCTATAGAAGCTTAAACCGAGTCTTCCATGAGACTTACGGGACAAAGCTGAGGATAATTCGGTGTGGATCTCCAAAATTAATGCATTTCCATTAGTTGACAGCTAAATCTAAAGCTAAAACTTTACCAAAATGTTTTCTAATATAGAAGACTACATTTCTGAAATCACGGATTCTAGTATGCTCTAAGTTCAATTGCTTTTACTACATGAATCAGGTAAAAAATGTGAATTCTGCAAGCAATATTTCAACTTTAAAGAGTTGAAAAGGTAAATACCAAAAGTGAGTAATTAAAATCAAATTAGATAACAATACCTAACACCAGCATCGCCGACGATTCCAATAGCCATGCCGGCAGAGAGACCAGCGAGGCCACAAGCGAGACCAGAGGAAAGATGAGCATATCCATCGAATAGGTAGTAAGATTTGGCCTTTGGGTTAATCCCGGTGCTTATAATAACCGCAATAATCAACCCATAAATACCTAAAACCCCAGCCATAACGACGGGGACGATCGATTTCATCACCAGCTCCGGCCTCATCACCCCCATCGACGCTACTCCGACACCGCTCTTGGCCGTCCCGTAAGCCGCTCCCATACCTGAAACACGGAAACAAATTGGATACAAAAATTAGCTCCGATCAAAAGCCGACTACTTTTGGAGTAAAACAATTCATGTTTTTACAGGAGAACACGAGGGCAGCAGCGGCCCCGAGGAAGCCAAAGAAAGGAGCAGTTTCGTCGCCGCTGAACGTGGACACCATTTTAGTTTCACAAAACTTTCAACCGAAGATTTGAAGAGATTCAAGGAACTTCGATCAGTGGATTTGTTCAACAATCAATCAGAGAAGAAAGAGACTGGTAGAGAAGCAAATAGGAAGTTTATTAGTGGACCCCCGAGAGCCTGATTATTCCGATAAACTAAAAACTTTTCTTGGGCCTGTTTTTGGCCCACTTTTATGGGCATATTTAGGCCTTGACATGGGCTACAGTAATAGTAAATTATTAACCCCAACTTATTTTCTACCCGTCTATATTAATAATTACGATCCATTTATATAAAATAAAATTTTTAATTATTGAATTAATAAATTTTTTATTAAGTTAAATATAATATCTATTTAAAGATAACTCTTAACCTCTCGACATTGAACGCTCACACCCTTTGCATCTATAGTGCTCAAACTTTGAACCTCAAGGAATTATAACAATTATTTTACCACGAAAACCACTTAATTCGTGCTTGAATTAATAAAATTTAATTAACGAGATTGAAATTTTTTAAATTGTGAATAGTTTATCCTATTTTTTTAATCTCTTCATTCCATATTACTAATCTTAATCATCCATTTTCATTACTTAAATGACTCAAATAACGTGTAAAACTTAAAATTTTTATACTATCTCAATGGATACTACTTATTAAATTTAATATTTTTCATTTGGATAAAATGTATGTATTATATCCAAGGAAAACAAACAAGCTGCTACAAGAAAAAATTAATATTTTTCCTCATTTAATAAATATACAAATTTAAGCTTCTATATGTAAATAGGTATAGATCCAAATTTAAGCTTCTATATGTATATAGGTAAAGATAATAGAATGTAGAAGAAAAGAGCAAAGAGAGTTTTGTGTGGGCAAGTGGTGTAAGAAAGTCAAATTTCATGGTGTTATAATGGATGTGAATTGGACCCCTCACTTCCATCATCCAATCTCCAGAATGGTGTGATCATGATTCAATGAGCCATCTTAAACCACGACTTCTCTCGGCTTACCCAGTGACCATCATGGCATCCATTCTTTGCCAATCAAATTGCATGGCCCCATCTCCTCTCTATATTCGGCAGCTCCCTGTTTAGAAACGTGGTCTAATTAATGGCCTATCCCATCCAAATCATCCCCTACAGGCGACCAACCAATGAACATCCCACACAGGATGCATGCCATGGGGTTCTTCTCTTTTATCTGTTTCCATTCTTTTCCTTCATGTCTTCTTTTCAGTGGTTCTAATAGCAGAAACCCTAGTTTTACTACAATTTGCCAAGTACATTTTGAGAGAGAGAGAGAGAGGCAAGTGGGATTATATGAGAATAATTTCTCTACTCTCTCTATCACATGATGCTCAATCATCATCTCACGGAATGACATATTGCTGATAAATTTAAAACACTATCAACATTTTTTTTTTCTACCAAATTGTTAGGATAAGGGTAAGTAAAAGACATGTTGTCACTGAGAATTTTAAAATGAAACAAACTAACGGGTAGAATAGAAAAAAAAAATTAGTACAAACGATAATAAATTATAAGATGATTATACGAGAATAAATCAAACTTTATAATCATATATAGTTATATATAAACAATAATATACATTAAATAAAATTATATAATTTTTTAGAGTCTCTATATCCGCCATGAATTTTCATTTTTCTTCTAATTGTATTTTTTTCATAAAATAGATAATATAAAGATTTTTCTTAGATGAAGTACAATAAAATTAGGGACACGAACTCTAATAATAAGTGTTTTGTTTTTCTTCAAATGCATCATATGGTATATAAAATTTGTGAATTCAAATGTTATAGAATTAATGCCCACAACAGGTGCAATCATGGTTGATATGCCCCTTGAAAGAAGCTTGTGTTTTACACCTTAGTTGAATATATATAAGTGGAAGAGTGTCAAGTTATGAGTGTTGTTCAAGAATTTGATTTTATATCTATTAAATTTAAAAAAAAATTCAGAAACGAATATATTAATAAGATAAACACAAATATACTACGACAAAGATTTAAAAGAATAAATATCTTGTAATAAACAACATGGAAGTGTGAGGTCACAGACCATATATTTTTATGTTAGGGATAGAACTTATAAAATTTTAGAGGAAAATAAATTTATAAACTTTAAAGGTAAAAAATAAAATATATTAAAAATATTAAAATACAGGAGAATTTATAATTTTCTGTGTTAAGAATCTTATAGGTCCCGCCCGAAGATATCCATTCACTGCTTACCCCAACTCTTATATTCACATTGTATTGCGGAAAGAAGAGAGAAGAGCATAGATTTAGGCTTCACCTCCAGCTTAGTGGTGGGTGTGGGTCCGCAATGAGGGGTCTAATGAGTTTAATGATGCAGTTCGTCGCATGATTGGAGACGCACCGCCGACCCACCACCGTCGTACGTGGACAAATTTTCCATTATCTGTCCTCTCTGTATCGATTTTCATGGCCATATATTATACCATTTGTTTAGAAATCAACAACTCGCCGCCGAGGTATGCATCAGCCGGTTTAAAGTTAAGAATATATGAAATGTAATTTATGAATGAAGTACATCTTTATTTTCTCCATTCTTGAATCAGTGAGTCACTGAGTAGAAAACGGAAAGGTTCTTCTTCTTCTTCATTCCTCTCCATGCAAATCCATGCAAAATCATCTTCGTTTTCAAGCTTCCTTTTCTTGAATATTTTTTTATCTTTCTCTCTTTGTTTAAGGCAGTACATCGCTTGCTAGACTCCAGGCTTGGATGTCACACTCCTGTAATAATTTCTCTTATTTTTCACATAATTTTTGTCTGGTCAAAGAAGCCACCTTATTCCAGAAAACACAAGGCTCAAAATTCGATAAAAAAAATTGTTAGAACATCCATTTCTATTCTTTTCTATCATTTCTAACACTAACCCACCATCCAGTTTTATATACTGAACTTTCTAACTGAGATGAGCTCCATTTCCTTTTCATTCTTGGTCTTCTGCAACTTGTTGACAACGTAATCTTACCCGCTCTTGACTCAATATCTGAATAAGTTTAGAGGTCTTTGTTTGATATATATACTGTTTGAGAATTAAAGAGGCAAACCCTGGGAAATTTTAGTTCCATTCTTGGTGTCAGAGCTGCTATGGAAATACTGGACAAACAGACAAAGTAGACCGAGTCCGTCCCGTTGGCAATCAGACACAGCTTCTGCAAGTTCCTCATGAACACTGCTTTTCTTCTTTCTTTTAGCAATTGTCATAATAGTTTAGTAATGGAAACCCCGTTCTTGATGCATCTTTTCCATCATTCACCAGCACAACTACACCAGACAACATCATTACCTCAAACCTCTAGTTGTGATCCGTTTTCTAGGGGGAGGGGACTATGTTTACATTTCTCTTTTATATATATTTTAAGTTACATGATTTACTTAGGGCGGTGCTAATAGTTGTGGTGAATTTGAAGCAGCAACCGCAGTTATGATGGAATCATGCGTCCCACCTGGATTCCGGTTCCACCCGACAGACGAGGAACTTGTTGGGTATTACCTGAGGAAGAAAGTTGCAGCTCAGAAGATTGATCTTGATGTTATCAGGGACATTGATCTCTACAGGATAGAACCATGGGATCTTAAAGGTATAAATCCACCAACATCCTTGTTTCTTTTCCATTTGTTTTTTTATTTTATTTTAATCATCTTTTAGAGTTTCTTTTTTGCTGTCAAGAACTTAATAACCCTAGGCATGGATATATTTATATTTGTGGGTATATATGCGAGCAGATTAACTAGTTTATGTTGGTGATGTGCAGAGATGTGCCAAATTGGATGCGAGGAGAAAAATGAGTGGTATTTCTTCAGCCACAAGGATAAGAAGTATCCAACGGGGACAAGAACTAACAGAGCAACCATGGCTGGTTTCTGGAAAGCAACGGGACGAGACAAAGCAGTGTATGATAAATCAAAGCTGATCGGCATGAGGAAGACTCTTGTATTCTACAAGGGAAGAGCTCCTAATGGCCGGAAATCTGACTGGATCATGCATGAGTACAGACTTGAATCCGACGATCATGGATCTCCACAGGCAAGCACTCGCTATCCCCTTTCTTCATCTTCATCTTCATGATCGTCCAACATTCTGAGGTAAAGCAAATCCGAAGCTTTGTCAATTAGTTTTTTAAGTTCTTGCAGGAGAAAGGATGGGTGGTTTGTCGAGCGTTTAAGAAGAAAATCGATGGTCAAACCAAGAACATAGAAGCGTGGGAGTCGAGCTATTTCTATGACGAAGTAAGTGGGATTAGTTCAGTGATTGTTCCAATCGATTACGTCTCTCAACAACCCCGGAATTTCTCACCCCAAAATCTCTTTTGCAAGAAGAAGAAAGAAACAGATCATTTAAGCTTCGTGGATCACTCGGATGATCAGTTTGTGCAACGTTTTCGGACAGAGAGCCCATCATTGTCATTAATGAAGAGGCCGAGCTCAAGATCTCTAATATCAGAGACTAATAAACATGAAGATGAAAAAGATGAAGTGCAGAATAGGATAATCTGCAACAACAAGAAGAAAGTGACTGATTGGAGAGCACTCGACAAGTTTGTTGCTTCTCAGCTGAGCCAAGAAGATAGATTTGACGACGGTGGAGGATTTTCGAGCTTCGAGGCCATTGATGATCGTAATGATAACTCAGACATGACATTTATGCTATTGCAAGATAGTAGTAGAGAAGAAGGAAACAAGTTGAATGAGTTCTTGAATTCTAGTTCAGATTGTGATATTGGGATATGCTTATTTGCTAAATGAAGAGGCTTTTGTTCACAAACTTTGATGCATGTTGATACATATTTTTGTAATGGCCCTATATAAGCTCTCAAGTATGTTGATATCAGATTCAAGATCAAATTATATATGAAAACTTTTCTTTCCCTCTTTAAATTGTTGTAGAATGTGATTAAGTTTGTGGTGTATTGGAAAAGAATAACGTACCAAATTTAATTAATATTAAATTTTAAACTGAGTTATTTATGTTTTCTTTTGTTAAAAAAGTTATAAAATGTTTATATTAGTAAATATATATAATATTGAAATCTTAATTTTTTTATCAACATAGATTGATATAGGCAGATAAAATTCAAAACTTGTTTTTTTAATAGTATCAGATGATTACAAGGTGGTATGTGTTTAAGATTTTACTTAGTAATTGACAATGCGCATAAAATCGAACCTAAAATTTCAAGGAATAACAACATTACTTTTAACAACTAAGATTACTCAATAAATTCAAAATTTAATTATCTTATTCAATCATTTTATATATTAAACACGTAGATTTAAATTCAAATATATATATATATATATTAAATTTATATTCATTTTAGAATGTAAAAATAAAAATAAAATAGATTATAAAAGTAAGACCAAAAGAGAATCCCCATAAGAAAGCGATGAGAGCAAAGAATTATATTTATAAATTGATGATAGAATTAAGTGAAGATGGTGGCATCTGGGTGTGGGTTTGGTGGGTCCAAGGCTTGTCCAGCATGCGCTAGGCACCATGGCTCCTGTTGGGCATGCCTTGCAACACCTTATGGACATTCTTTAAGACCCTATATTAGATTATTATTACATTATCTATTTACTTCATGTTCGTTGTACGGTTTATAATTTATAATTTTGTTTTTGATTTAAGTATTTGGTTAGCATGCTAAACAATAAGGTATGTTTGCTTATGATTCAATATTACATTTCAAGTGTGTGTTTATCTGAACATGTGGATAGGTAGAATTGATATGTGAAAGATAACAGTTTTTGTGAAATTTTGTGAAATGATATATTTGATAAGTGATTCAACATTAATAATGAACCATATGCTAGTTCGATAATAGAAAATGGCAAATTTTGACTCTTCAATATTTTTAATAACGAATCCTTGATTATTAATTTAGTTCCAGTTGGTATAAGATAAAGTATAGAATACTTATGTATGAATTTTTAAAGACTTGATAAGAATAAGAGATGTTATATGTTAAGATTGTGTCCCGACGAAGAGGAAAAATGTTATTGTATTAATATCAAATTGATACTTGACAATGGGGTGACAGCCGAATATCCGTAGACAAATAATGAATACTTTGATTCTGTGACATTACATGTTATGAAAAGTTAAACTGAGATTCAATTAATATTATGATTAAATTTCCATATTTTGGTTATGTATGTTATGACATGTTTCATTTAATCGGCTATCTTACTAGGTATTGTGAAACTTACTCTGTTCATTACTACAGTTGCAGGAGTCCGATATAGATAGATAAGTTATCGCCTTTTCCTAATCATGAATCGAGCACATAAAATTCTTCTCACTCAGCCCAACACATTGATACAAGAAAACTGCCAAAGTATTCATTCATCGTTGAACAGGACATTTCCGCATCAAACGACCTTGCATAATAGAATCATGGACACATACGGCCGTCGGTTGGGTTAGGAGGAAGATGGATAGGAGAAGAGGGCAGAGAAATTTAGTTACCAAATGCTTTTTATTATAAAAAGGCCACAACAAAATAAAAATAAAAAGCTTTGAAAATTAAATGCTTTAGCAACCAAATTCTCCCATGCATTTAGGTGATTCTAAAGTGTAAAACAGACCTCAATGAAATTAGCCATAGGCATTATCAGAAGTGATTTCAGAATGTTCTTGGATAGATTTTCCGAACAGACCATCTATTGCTCACCATATCCAGGCTTCATCACCAATAGTCAACCTGTTCTCAATATGATGTGAACCCCACTGTCGGTATCCACAATGTCACTTATCTCACCAACCTTGAGACTATACGTCGCATCCTCAAATGGCTTTTGCATCTGGCCTCGACCAAAAGGACCTGCACCAAAAAGTTGTATAAGATTTCGGTTTGGATTACGGATTTGTAATGCTGGTGCAAACTAATGAATGGTCATGGATAATTAACAATAAGAATCGAGTGGTACATTCTTTGCAGGACATAGATAAATAAAATTACACTAGTATATCAATATTTTAATAGATTGGCAGTATTGAATATCAATAATGACATGATATAATAGTATGAACTTAACTGCAAAAGGTGCTAGAATTGAATGATATGCTAACTTTCATAGTGGATGAACTAACATGCCTTGGAACCTTGGGATCGAATCATGTAGTCAAAACTCTATCTAGAATAAGGAAGAAGAGTTATTGAGAAAATTTTATCTTGGTCTACTTTTCAGAAGCTCATGATACAGTAAAAAAAACACAGGAAAGGGCTTTAACCTTGTAAGATAATCACCGAAATATTACCACCACGAGGAAGGATATAATAGCAGATAAAAGGCAAAAAAGGGTCAGATGTAAAGGGCTGTTGTCAAATTCTAAGCTTCTATACGTTTCAAGTAAAATCAAATGCTACATCTCAATTGCTAAAAACAATGGTTGAGGTAATTGGGTCCGCCAGATTAAAAACTATTGACTTGCAAAGCAAAGCACAGCCATTGAAACCAGTAAGTTTTAAAAGCAGTACATTATCTGATTAACACAAAACAAACTAGCCAAGAAAACTACAGTTATTAACATATTGGAAATCTCTTAAGCCAATGAGCAACTCAGCAACAAACTACTCGACTATTACAGCTCCGATTGCAGGGATCCCAAAATTCTAATGTCTTAACACTTGGAACCCTAATTTCAGCAACAAAGTATTCGAAATGCTAGTATTAACAAAAGTTCCAATTAAACAAACTCATAACTATAAGACTCGGTTTAGACTAACTTTTCAATACTTGTATTAACTCAAAGCCATCTTTTTGGCCCTCCAATAATTCAGCTTCTCACAAGTTTCTAAGCAACCAAACAGAAAAATAGAAGCTATAGTTCCAAATCCGAGGCCTCTATTTTCGTATCTAAAACTAATCCGCAACGGAAGCTTAAAGGCATTTGCACCGCAATCAAAGGCAAACAAACTAACCGAGATCACCGCCGCGTTTAGCGGAGCTGCAATCGGAGTAGCGAGAGGCAATATCGTCGAACTTAGCCTTGCCGGAAACGATGTCGTCGCGGAGGAGTTTGAGCTGCGAGACGGCGGAGTCTCTGGTGGTGGCGGAGATGACTCGACCTTCTGGATCCTTCCAAGAAGCCTTGCGGCGAGAGCCCTGGTGTTTGATGAGTATGTGAGATGCCCTCACTTGATTGGCCACCGTAGACGATGACATCTTGATTTTTTTTCTTCAATCCGAATACAGCGTGTTCTCGCAGTTTCTAGGAGACTGAAACAGAGGATGAAGAAAGAAAAACAGTTAGGATTATATAATTTGTAAAGCTATGGGGTATTCGCTACTACTACTATTCATTTATCTTCTAACGTGTCCTTCTCTCATTGCTTATAAAAATCAATTTAATTATCACACAATATAAAAGAAAAAGTCTTATTTCATATTATCCGAAGCTTTTGTGTTTTAACCTGTTCTATTATATTCGTTTTAAAATTAATTGTTACAATAACATTTATTTTTAATTAATTATTTAAATAATATTAACATAAAATAAAAACGCGTTTAATTAATCATAACTTAAAAAATTCTAACTTAGTTTACTTTTTTGAAATTTTGTGGTTTTATGTTCAAGTTTTTTATTTTTAAGAGTTTAGGGTATATAATTTAAGTTGAGGTTTTAAATCTTTTAAAACTATTATAAATATAATAAGATCATCGTATAAAAAAATAACCTTAAAAATAATTTAATTTGAATAAAGTTTGTATTGAAAACTATTAATTATAAATGATTTGCTTACACCAGTTGGTCTAGTTGAATAGACATTAGATCCCTTAAGCAATGTCAGGGGTTTGAATATTGACGTTTGTAAATGGAGTAAATTGGGTTGAGAGGGTTGTCCTTACTTCTATAGTATTCGATCTAGATTAGTCGGTCAATAGATCAGATACCAATAATTAATTAAAAAACGATTTGCTTACATGTTCCCTCGTCACCATTGGGTTCTTTAGTAAAAAAATGTACTTCACAGTTACATGCTTCTTTATTTAGTCACTGTTACACACTATATACATCTTTTTATTGATTTTAAAAATGAAATATAAAAAATTGATCGACGTTTCTCTTAATTTTATTGATGTATAACTAGTGAGATAGAGACTAATGGTGTTTGATTGCAGTTTATTTTTATAATTTAGTCGAAAAGTTATTAGGTAAAGATATGAAGACGTCAGTCGATAATAATTCCTCTTTTGATCTAAATATGTTAGAATTCAAATCAAATTTTATTAATTATGCTGACAAAGTATGGATGATTCTTGAATATTATATCAATGTCCTTAAAACCATGAAATGAAGTGGCAACAAATGATGAAAGGTAAACAATTAAGCAAGGCAAAGATTGTGGATATGAAATAATCCACTTGTTTTAAGTTTATAAATGAATTGTAGTGAGTGAATGTAAGTGAAAAAAAAAGAGAAAAAGGGTAGCTTAGTAAAGCTTTTGTTAGTGGGGTTGTGTTTGTAAATTAGTCGAAGTTAGTGTTGTATTCATATTTTGTTCATATCAATAATATTGTTTGAATTATAAAATTACTAAGTGCCTATCTACGCTTCCAACAAGTGGTATCTAGAGCTTGGTTCGAATTTAACGTGGTGGAGAAGATGACCAATATAATTCAACCATAGATCCCGAGATTGAAAAAAGTGAATTATAACAATTGGAGTATTTAAATGAAGGTATTACTTGGTTCGCAAGATTGTTGGGATATCATCGAAGAAGGTTACACCGAGCCCGAAAACGCAACAACAGAAGTAGCCCTACCAAATGAATAGAAAATGATATTGAATGAATCCAAAAAAAGATAAAAGAGCGTTGTTCTTTATTTTTCAAGGAATAGATGAATATACATTTGAATTTTTTTATGCAAAGACCGCAAAACAAGCGTGGGAGATTTTGCAAAAATTTCTCCAAAGTGCCGAAAAAGTAAAAAAGGTACATTTATAATCTCTTAGAGCTGAGTTTGAAATGTTGAAAATGAAAAATACGAATAGAATCGATGATTATATTAGTCGAGTAAAAGCGGTGGTGAATCACTCGACGAAGTTAGAGGGATGGAAAATATTTTACGGTCTCTAACACGAAGATTTTATTACGTGGTCGTGACAATCGAAGAATTGAAAGATTTATCTTAAATATCGATCGATGAGCTTGTGGGTTCACTCCAAGCCCATGAGCAGAAGATGAAACAAAAATGAAGATTATGAAAATTTGAAGCAAGTGTTGCAAAGCAAAATGAACATATGCGGAGGAGAAGCTAGTAGCAGTTATACACAAGGTCGAGGAAATTGTAGTGGTTATCGTGGAAGATACAGATGATGACGAGGAACTCGTGGACGTGGTGGTCGGTCATATGAAACCGATCAAATAAGTGAAAGCAATCAAGCATAGGGCCGTGGAAGGGGATTCAGAGGTCGAGGTAGATATCAACAAGGAAATAAATCTAAGGTACAATGTTATAATTGCAAAAAATGTGACCACTATATTTATGAGTGTAGATCAACTCCTAAAAAAAGAAATAACATAACAGAAGTCAAAGAAGAAAAAATTGAAAAATCTCATGTATTCCTCGCTTACAAAGGATGAAATTCCTCACTTACAAAGGAAATGACGAGTTCAAGAAAAATATTTTATATCTAGATAATTGTGCTAGCAACAACATGTGTGGTCAAAAGGAGCTATTTGTGAAGTTATACGAAACAGTCCATGGTTGAGTATCTTTTGGTGACGACTCACACGTAGAAGTCAAAGGCAAATGTGAAGTCATGATTACTCAAAGAAATGGTGAAAAGAAATACATCTCAGATGTGTATTATGTACCTACTTTGAAAAGCAATATCATCAGTCTTGATCAACTCTTGAAAAATTGATATGAAGTGCAATTGAAAAATTGCTCTCTTGTCATAAAAAATAAAGAAGGAGAATTGATAGCCCAAGTTGATATAAATCGAAATCGACATCGAGTTAGGAGAAGTAAAATGCATAAAAATTGCGATAAAAATGATTCATTATTGTGGCATCTACGATATGGACATCTTGGATTTTTAGATCTGAAGCTCTTATCGAAAGCAAATATGGTGAAATGATTGCCAGAGATCAATCCTCCAAATCAACTATGTGAAGCTTGCATTAAAGGAAAACAACGCAAACAAAACTTTGAAGTTGGTAGATCTTGGCGTGCCCGAAGGCCATTGGAGATAAAACACACATATATAGTTGGTTCTTATGATATCCCATCGCTTAGTAGTAACAAGTGTTACCTAATTTTATTGATGATTTAGCAAAAAATGTTGGATTTATATCTTGAAAGAAAAGTCAAAAGCGTTGTAAAATTAAAAGAATTTAAAGCAATAACGGAAAAGCAAAGTAACCAATGTTTTAAAACACTCAGATCAGATAGAGGAGACTAGTATACATCAAATTTATTTGAAAACTTCTGTAGAGAGCATGACATAATCCATCAATTGACAGCTAGATACACGTCACAACAAAATTGAGTTGTAGAAAGGAAGAACTGCACAATCCTTAACATGGTAAGAAGCATGATAGAAGGTCAACACCTACCGAAAAATTTTTGGGTGAAACAGTAAGTTGTGCAATTTATTTGTTAAATTGATGCCCGACAAAAAGTGTGAAGTATATGACGCCAAACGAAGTATGGAGTGGTCAATAACTAGGAATTGGACACCTCAAGATTTTTGGGTGCATTGCATACGCCCACGTTCCTGAACATACCAAAAAGAAGCTTGATGATAGAGGAAAAATGTATTTTCATTGGCTATGATGAAGAAGTAAAGACTACATATTGTATAATCCTCTTACCAATAAGGTAATAATTTCAAGAGATGTCGAGTTCGATTGAGGATAATACTAGAGATGGATAAAGAATAAAAGAAAGTTGAAGGATTATTTTTTAATGAAGATAAAGATGATGATGATGATCTTATCAATCAAGATGGAAAAAATGATGATCAAGGTCCTCAACAAGTTGCATCATCATCATCAAGCAACAATAGCGGTGGTAGAAACATAATAGAAAATCCTGAAGTACCTTTCACGAAATTTTGAAGATCTACAAGCGAGAGAATGATACCAGAAAGGTGTTTCACTTTTTTGCTTACTTGTGAATAGTGATCCAATAACATACAAAAAAGCGATTGAAGATGAAAAATGGAAGAACTAAATGGATAAAGAAATTACATCAATAGAAAGAAATAATACATGGGAGCTAACAAGGCGACCAGAAGGTTACAACCCAATTAGAGTTAAATGGGTTTACAAGACTAAAACCAACAAATAAGGAAAGGTTGAGAAACACAAAGCAAGACCAATTGCCAAAGGCTACAAACAAAGACAAGGAATATGCTATGATGAAATATTTTCTCCAATAACAAGGATTGATACCATCAGACTTCTCATAGCAGTTGCAACACAAAACAAATGGAAGATTTATCAGATGGACGTGAGCTCAACATTTCTTAATAGTTACCTATAAGAAGAAGTTTATATTGAGAAATCACCTAGGTACATTAAAAAAAGGCATGAAGACAAAGTTTATCAATTGAAGAAAGCTTTGTATGGATTGAAGCAAGCTCCGAGAGGATGGAACATGAGAATAGATGAATACTTCCAAATGAATGAGTTTATGAAGAATCCATACGAGCATGCTTTACACGAAGAAAAATGAAGATGATGATATCATGATCGTGTGCTTATACGTGGATGACATGATTTTCTAAGGGAATATTAAAAATTACATATATTGGTGAAATGTCATACTTTCTTGGAGTTGATTTGAAACAAATTCAAGATGAAATATTTATATCACAAAAGAAGTACGCAGAGGATATTTTAAGCAAATTCATAATGGAAGATTGAAAGTCGATAGCTACTCCAGCAGAATCAGGCATGAAATTAAGTGTGAAATTAACAAGAGAGCAGTGAATCTGACATTATTCAAAAGCATCGTTGGAAGTTTAAGGTATCAGACTATCACACGACCAGACATAACATACGTTGTGGGATTGGTAAACATATTAATGGAAAACTAGAAACAAGATCATTGGATTGCGACCAAGAGAATTTTGAGATATGTCAAAGGTACAACATATCATGGTTTATTCTATACGCATTCAGAAAATTCGAAGTTGGTTGGTTATTCTAATAGTGATTACGGAGGAGATTTGGATGATCGAAAAAGTTACTTACGGATATCTATTTCACATTGGTTCTGCAACATTTTCATGATCATCAAAGAAGCAACAAATGGTGGCTCTTTCGACATGTGAAGCAGAATACATAGTCGCTGTAGAATACACAAGAAGAATCGACTACAATTTATGTCGACGACAAGTCTACAATTTCTCTTGCTAAGAATTTAGTCTCCCATAGTCGAAGCAAACATATCGATACAAAATATCATTTTATACAAGAGCAGGTGAAGAACAAAAATGTGGAGTTAATCTATTGCAGAAATGAAGATCAATTGACAGATATTTTCACGAAGCCATTGAGAGCAAATATATTCAACCAACTCAGAGTAAAGCTTAGAATGAAAAATTAGATATGAGGGAGAGTGTTAGAATTCAAATATAATTTTACTATTTGTGCTGGCAAGGCATGAATGATTCTTGAATATTATGGAAATCAATGTCGACAAAACCATGGAATGAAGTGGCAGCAAATGAAGAAAGGTGAAAATTAAGCAAGACAAAGATTGTGGATATGAAATAATCCACTTGGATTATTAAGATTAATGGCGGCAAAGAGTATTCAATTGCGTCAAGCAACAATGAGGTGACAACACATTTCTTAGTAGTTCCGACAGCATGCTCATGCTTAACAATCAAGAAAAAAAATGTGGCAATATAAGAAGAAATTAGCAGCAAGGTTAGTCGGTTATATACTTATAAAAATATGGTTAGATATTTTAAGCTTATAAATGAAATGTAGTGAGTGAATGTAAGTGAAAGTGAGTGAAAAAGAAAAAAAAACGAGAGAAAGAGAGTGGAAAGAGTGAGTGAAAAAGAAAAAGAAACGAGAGAAAGAGGGTAGCTTAGCAAAGTTTTGTTAACGAGTGTTGTATTTATATTTTGTTCGTATTAATAATATTATTCGAATAGTAAAATTACTAAGTGTCCATCTATGCTTCAAACAAAATAAAGAGTCGTTATAGATGATAATAATTGAAAATAAGAAATCAAGTTCCCTTTCTCTTCTCCAAAAGAAAAAGGAGAGAAATTCTTTTAATCAGAAAAAAAATCTTATTTTTTCTATTTCTATAAGTGAACGAATCTTATTATTAGTTTTCCATCAAGCAATAATATCAAAATCATTATATCCAACTTATTAATCTATCAAGTGATGAAATAATTAGTCACGTGACCTAAATATCAAAAGGACGTCTACAATTGTTAATATGAATAAAGGAGTGATTTTCTTTTTCATAGTTCCAAAGTCCAAAGCCATGGCTGGCACCATGTGTGTTTAATTATCACGACACCATATAAATAAAATTAGGTTGTACATTGCTTGTTGTATTTGCTGTCATTGAATGACTAACTCTAAAGTGTAATATGGGTTAGGTGCATTGACAAAATAGAAAACCATAAAAAACCCCATCAACTTTCGGTTATGAAATAAAAGAGAAACATATGCTGATATTGTCTACTGGGACAATTTGTCTTACTTTCCTCCATCAAAACTTGCAAAATCAATTATTGGAAAAGAACAATAATAACGCTGGTTTCCATGGGTTTGAAGCAAACGAATAGGTTAGCCAGAGTTGTATTTGTACCAACCATGTGGTCAAGTTAATGAAAAGACCTTAAAAACTTTTAGGGATTTCGTTCAGGTTATCTTTGATTATCAGGAGAATAAAATGTCATTTTCCTATTTGGATTGCAAACATTCTTAACCCCTAGTAATAAGTTATTCCTAACAGTGGTATTTTGGGGATTTATTACCGGGAATATAACTACACCCTTCCCTTAGATATTGTTACATTTCCGGTGTTTTGGACTAAAATGACCTTATTTTTTCTCTAAAAAATATTATTCTTCTGTCGTTGAATAAAAAAATTCTACGAATGTTAAATTGCACATTTATCCTTAAACTATTTTAGATTTACAAAAAAAAATTCATAATTAGAATTTATATGAAGTTTAGGGGTTAAAATAAAATTTTACCCTTTTATTAAACCTATTTATCTTTTCAAATTTGTAAAAAAAATTATATAAATTTTATGAATTTAAATTTTTTAAAAATATATATAAATTAATTATAGTAAAATTATAGTAGAATTCAACTTGTTAAAAAAATAAATATATAATAAGGACAATTTAGTAAAATATACATTCCAATAATTTTTTATTCCTTTAACCAAATACTGTAATCTTACATTCATGCTAAACGAACCAAACACAACAATGCAATATTCCCAGTAATGTGTTAGGTAATGTTACATTCCGGTAATCCTATTCCCGCCGGTAATATTACATTTTGTGAATCAAACGCACCCTTAAAATCTAAAATAGAGTATAAGCTATATAAAAATTACCTACATAGAGAATAAAACAATCACTAAATTTATTAAATTATTATAAAATAATTATTTATTTTTATCAAATTATTATAAAATAAACATTGATCTTTATAAAAATATTAAATAATGTGATCATTAAATTTATCAAATTTTATACTTATTATAACTTCACAATAGTCGTTTTATAACAATTCGATAAGTCTAATGATCATTTTATAATTTTTAAAAAGTTCAATGCTTAACATAATCATTGAGCATAGTTCAATGATATCTAGTATAATTACATGCTTATGCAGGAATAATATACGATTGAATATTTAGAATCGATAGTTAAAAGGTCAATCAATCTATCTCACCCACTTATCTTCAAGGTGTGATGTTCTTTCTACTAAATCTCGTGACACTCTTATCACGGTAGTTCATTTTATTTATATCACTCATTGAGATACTTGACATAAAATCAGATAATAAAAAGACCAATGTGATGTTACTTATCACAAAACTATTACTTTCTTTCCTACTAAAAACTTATAATCATGAGATACAATTACTGTTTATAATTAAAATTTTATAATTATTATCTATTTAATTCTTTTGATATTGCATTAGCCATAAAATGTATCATTTAGAACAACATTCGGAAAATATTCAGGACAAACATAAATAAAATATAACGTTGAATGACTGGTGACAGTATGATAAACAAAAGTGAATTCGGAGAATCTGTAGAGCATCAAGAGCGGACAAATAACTGACTAACCGTTGAAAAAAAGTTGTAACCCATATAATGAAAAAAACGACTAAAAGATGGCATCATGAGAAGAGCGAAATCAGAAACTGAATAGGCATTGGAATATTTAGTTTACGCAATATATACAAGCGAACAAAAAATCAGACATAAAAAAAACAAATAACCAATGATTCTCATAGAAATAGAGAACAAGAAGAAAACTTATAAAAGAAACTTATATCGGAATCAGAAGACACCAATAATAAGATATCCTTTATCAGAGAAAAAATATGAGAAAACATTATTTTAAATGCATTAAAACACAATTGGAAAATAATAAAATCGACAATCTACTAAAAAGAAAAAAAAAAGACATAAATGTCATGGGGTAGCCGGACAAAGCTACGACCGCAGCCTTGACATGAAATCCGCTTGTAACTTATGTATGCAAAATGGTAACCCATGTAGAGAATTTGGTGTTTTATTTTTTTAATCTTTTGATATTTATGTAAATATTAATTCAAAAATATCTTGTAGTGTTTTATCATTTATAACTATTTTATTTTCACCAAACAATCAAATTATTGCACATTTGAAAGCTACATTTTATAATTCAGAATTTAAAGAGAAATATATTTTTGAAATTTAAAGCTTATCTGTCCATAACACTCAAATATACTTTGTACTCAACAAACCAATATATTTGTTTCAAGAAATTTCCCCATAGGAGGAACCTCCGAATCTCGGCCGTCGATCCTGTTACTTCGCACAAGGCAAACAACACATCCAGATGCGGCAACACGATGCTTTTCATAAACCTAACTACACCGTCGTATTCCACTTTTGGAGGAGCGGAGATCTATCCCATAATACACTACCACGTGTCTGATGGAGACAGATTCGCCAAATCGCAGCTTTTAAAAAGGTCAATACGCCGTCACTTTTTCGAACCCATTGCAGGAGCGTTTTGAAGTGGAGTCAAGCCCCGCTCCCCTCTCTGTCTTGTCTCTGTTGGTTTCTTTCTCTCTTGGAATCGGTATTTTAACTATTCAAATCAAATTCAAGTTCAGTGATTGCCGGCAATCTGCATTTCTTTCCGGTAAGTTCAATTCAGTGAAAAAATATGTTTTATCTTTCGTTCTTTTCTTCTTACATTCCATTTTAAGTTTTTTCTTTCTATTTTCATGATAAAGATTTTTGAAATGGACCGACGAGGATGGCCATGGAAGAAGAAATCTTCCGAAAAATCTGGAACTGAAAAGCAGGTAGTTGTATCAGATGGAACCGGTGCTTCTCTGTCTTCCTTAGCATCTCTCGGAGATCAGGTTTTTATTTTTTTTTTCACTAAAAAATCTGTAAAATGAAATGATTTATGAAACTCGTTCCTTATTTTTTGGAGTTTGATTTTGTTCTTTTCCCTTTTATGTGATGTTTACTGATAGGAAAAATGTAAAAAGGTGAACTATGTTCAAATATCAATGGAATCATACTTGCATTTGACTGGATTAGAGGATGAAGTTAACAAGTTAAAGGATCAAGTCAGATTATTTGAGGATGAAGTAAAGGATTTGGAAGGGAAACTGTCCGAAGCTCATTCAGAGATTAAGTCTAAGGATGCTTTGATTATCCAACATGCTAAAGTTGCTGAGGAAGCTGTTTCAGGTACGTGTTGGAAAATTTAATTTTTCACTTGTAATTCTACCATCGAGAGTGACGATTTGAGAGCTTTTTTGTACCTTTTTCTTAGGATGGGAAAAGGCGGATGCGGAAGCTATTGCTTTGAAACGGCAACTGGAAAATCTTACTCTTTTGAAGCTTTCGGTAGAGGATCGAGCAGAGCATTTAGATGGTGCTCTTAAGGAATGTATGAGGCAGGTAAGGGATGTGAAAGAGGAAAGTGAGCAGAAATTGCAGGATTTGGTTCTAGCCAAAAGGATACAATTTGAAAAAATTAAGCTTGGTCTTGAATCGAAAATAGCTGAACTAGATGAAGGGCTTTTGAGAGCAGAGGCTGAAAACCAAGCCCTTTCAAGGTCATTGCATGAGCAGTCCAATTTGATAGTTCAGATCAAGGTAGAAAAATCTAAAGCAGAATCTGAAATAGAACTTATGAAGGAAAACCTCATGTCACGTGAGAAGGAAATAAGCTTGCTCAAGTACGAGCTACATATGGCTTCTAAGGAACTTGAAATTCGCAATGAAGAAAAGAATTTGAGTATAAGATCTGCAGAAGCAGCAAACAAGCAACATTTAGCAAGTGTCGGCAAAATTGCTAAACTGGAGGCTGAGTGTCAAAGGCTACGCAGCCTAGTCCGTAAGAGGTTGCCAGGGCCAGCTGCATTGGCCCAAATGAAGCATGAAATTGATCATCTTGGCAGAGATTTTGGTGGACCTCAATCTAAAAGGAACGTTGCTAAGAATCCTAACTCGAATTTGTCCCCACAGATGGAATCATCTGCTGGCAACTTGCTGCAATCCCAAAAAGAAATTGATTATCTTACTATGCGTTTGTTGGAGATGGAAGAGGAAACAAAGATGCTTAAAGAAGCTTTGACCAGTCGCAATAGTGAACTGCAGGCTGCCAGAGAGAGGTGTGCTAAGACAAATCTAAGGGTAAAGAGCTTAGAAGCGCAAGCACATGCCCTTAATTATCAAACAAGCTCCCCAAAGTCAAGCATTGGGCACCCTGCTGGCGATCTTTCTAGTCAATATGCTAGCAATGCACCTAGTATCACTTCCATATCTGAAGACGGGATTGATGTTGAAGGACGTTTGGCTGAATCTTTGCTACCTGCAACCTCCAATATATCTCATTTGGGAATGGAGAAGAATAGTCATAAAGTTGATAAGCAAGAGAAATCAAATTGCTTGGAATTGATGGATGACTTTCTAGAGATGGAGAAGTTGGCATGTCTGTCAAATGATGTTGGTGGGGTTAATGCTGTTTCAATTGATCCGGATAATTCCAAGCAAGAGTTTGGTTTTAGTCCATCATCAAAGCAGGGTTCTTCAAGTGCAAGATCCTCAACAACAGAGCTTCAGAAGGATGTGGAAAATCTGCCCTTCCAAAAGCTTCAGTCAATGGTTTTTACAATTTTTGAGTCTCAGACTAAGGAAAAGAATTTAGGAAAGGTCTTGGAGGATATCAAATGTGCTATTCTAGAAGTTCAAGGTTCTCTGTCTCAGCACTTAGTTAACTATATATATGGAGGAGTTCAACTGGATTATGGTCCTTCCGATCAAAAGGATGTATCTGGAGAGAGTTTGATATTCTTAGAGGAAGATAATATTACAAAGCAAAAGTTGGCATCTGCAATATCTCAGATTCATCAGGTTTTACTATCAGTTGGCAGAGAAGCAATGAGAGTTCAGGACCCTCGCACTGATGGCCATGGACTAAGTAAAAAATTAGATTATTTTTCTGTCTCTGTGGATAAGTTTGTATTCGACAAGAAGGGTTTGGTTGACTTCATCTTAAAACTCTCCCATGTTTTAGCTGAAGTTGATCGACTGAACCTTGGTTTCCTGGGCTTTAGGGATTATGATAGAAATGCCAGTGATAATGAATGCATAGACAAGGTTGCGTTGCTAGAGAATAAGGTTGTACAAGATAACCCATCAAAACATGCATCTGGTGGTGGGTATCATCTTTGTCATTCCTGTCCTGACTCAGAGGTACTTCAAGATGAAATCTCGGATTCAAGTTTTCAACCCAATGCTACATCATCGTGCTTATTGAAAGAGTTGAAACAGCTGAAATTGGATAAAGCAAACATGGCTGTTGATCTTGAAAGAAGCACTGAGGACCTTGAAAATACGAAGTTGCTGCTTCAGGAGACAGAGAATAGGGAAACTGAACTGAAGTCACAGTTGGCTTCCTCTCAAAATCTCCACAGCCTCGCCGAAACTCAGCTGAAATGTATGACCGAGTCTTACAAGTCACTAGAAGCGCGTACACAGGAGTTGGAAGCTGAGATAAACCTTTTTCAAGAGAAGGCAGCAAAGTTAGATGATAAACTACAAGAAGAAAAGCGTGGCCATCAGGATGCCCTGGCTAGATGCAAGGATCTCGAGGACCAAATTCAAAGGTAATTAACTATTCATAATGCTTGATGCGTTAGCAGATATGATCTCTAGTAGGCAATCGGTTGACCCGGTCAGTACAAGGGAATTCATCAAATCATTGAACTAAAGAACATTTCAAGATGATAAACAACTATTTGGTAGTCATTCGCAAATTTGGTTTTGCACTAGAATCTCCATCAATTATTTTAATTGAGGTTATATTACATGGGTGTAAGTAAAATTCGATTCGATTCAAAAAGTTATTTTTTTTAAATTACAAATTATTCTAGTCAATTTGAGTTTTTGTTTCGGAATTCAAGTTGAGTTTAAATTTTTAAAGTTTGAATTACTGAAAAATTAAAAATTAAAACATCTTTTTGGTCTTTAGCTAAGTATTTTGATTATTTTACAATTTGGTCCCTAATTTCATTGTTCATTCAATTCTTCCTTTGTTTTAAGTCCATTTTGGATAGAATTTGAATCACACGCTCTTCTACAACTATGTAGTTTCAATTCTTCTTTTTTACAATAATTTTTTTCTTTTGTAATTTAATCCCTTAAGTTTATATTTTATTCAATTTGATTTGCCAATCGTAACTTTTTTCAAAAAAATTTCTACCATCAATTCATAAACTTTTATACTATGATTAATGGCAAAAGGGTAACTTTTGCCTCTATGGTAGACTCAATTTATCATTTTCGTCTCTATTGTATTTTCGCATCAATTTAACCCTCGAAATTGCTCAATTGTATCATTCTATACCTTACTCTCACTTAAAATCCTAAATTGAGGGTTTTAAATTTGAGATTAAGATTTAGAGTTTAGGGTTTAGATGATTTAGGGAATAGGGTTATTAATTTAGGGTTTACAGGCAGGATATAGAATAATGTAATTAAACAACTTTGAGAATTAAATTAATAAGAAAATATGATATAGGCAAAAGGTGACCCTTAAGCCATCATTAATACTTTATCCTCAAAATTACTTTTTTTTTAAATAATATTATAAATATATTATATAAAGTTTGAATGATACAATGGTATTCTTAAACTCGACTAACCAAATTTTTTTCACTCGACTCAATCACTACTCACTCCTACTATTTACATGAATCAATATCTTGTGTGGCATTATATCTTCTAACTTGATGAAATTCTCTTATTTTGCTAAAGGAATGCAGCCTCCTTTCTATGCCCAAAATCAGCAATAGAAGATTCTGAAGTGAAGATCAAACAGGTATGTACTATAGAATGTTTGTTCCATGTGACCTTCTGTTGTATAGAATTTGTTATCCCCTCCTCCCTGGGACCTGATTGCACTCTTTAGCTTGACCTAATTTTTATACGCTCATATAAAGGTGGAGGTTTGTTAATTGATCAGAGTATTCCTTATACGATGCTTTCGCAGTGACAGTAAACTCGAAAGCTTTTGCTGAAAATGTTTGTCATGTCACTCTCTTGGCAGGAACGAGAGATAAAAGACGCAGCACAAAAGCTTGCAGCCTGCCAGGTGACCATATTCCTTCTTGGGAGGCAGTTGCAATCTTTGCACACTCAGAGTGACAAGCTGTTGGGTGAAAGTTCAGTAGAAGATAGGCTAAATCATAGCGGTTCAAAGTCACAGGATATTCACTGTACCGATGACCTCAATCGCATTGAGACGGACAGCGTAACTTCTGCAGGTTTACAATCCATGATTGAGGATAATGAGACCAATCTTTCATTGAGGTCTTCGTTGAGCTCATCTCACCTCGATAATAGGCATACCAAGTCTACATTTTCTGCTTCTACGCTTGAGCAAGAGAAACACCCTCTTAGTTTCGGGCAAATCTTCTCTTTGAAAGGGAAGAACGAGCCGTAGAATGGTGTCATCAAGCTTTGTATAGATTTCCAGCTTAATGGGTATAGCAATCAGCTTGCACCATCTGGTCCTAGATATTATTTCCTTCTCTTTTTTGCTGGGATTGTAGTTGGGTTCTGATCGGAACTCACGCATTGTAGAAATTATAGTTTTGTGGAAATGAAATGGCAGATCATAGTTGTAAATCTGAACCTACATGTCTGAACTACCATTTATATTGTCATGTTTGATATTATAAGGAAACCCCATTCATGCATAAGGGTATATGACAGCAATGAAGCAATTAAACAATTTCATCTTACTTCAATTCCTTGACCAATCGCATCAAGGAAAATTCTTTACAATAGAATAGAAAGTTGCATATGTCTTTCATTTCTTAATTTGACAACGGGGCTAGACAATTATCCACGTTAACAACTTAACATACTACTTATACTAAGCTACAATCAGTGCTTTTAACAGGGAATGATTCACAACTAAATCTAGAAATAAGGTTGTTTGTTGTTACGGCTAATATCAACATCTTTACATCTTCTTCTTCGTTCACTTTGTCATCCCTTATATAAACTCGACAAGTGAACTCCGATGCTAACTTACCATGATCATGTACATTCATAACTGGAGGCCGGTTTCAGAGGTTGAGACATCCCATCAATCACACTCAACTCTCTTCTCAGCTTAACGATATGGGCTTGCACCTATCATGTAGTATAAACGGTTAAACGATACTGTTATTTACCCCAAAAGTTCATGAAAAATAAAATAGTAACAAACCACTATCATGGTTCATGGCCGAGAGTGTAACTTGACAATACATATAAAAAATAGTAACAAACCACTATCATGGTTCATGGCCGAGAGTGTAACTTGACAATACATATCAACATGGCATAGGACAGACAACATCTACAAAATAGGTAATGTTAAAAGATGCTTTACCCTGTACATTCGGCTAGACTTCTGTTATAAGCATATGGTATGGCTATTCATAACTAGCAGTAAATAGCAAGTATAAATAGCAGAACCCTTCACAATGACTCAACCGAGTAAATTGCAAATGTGAAAAGCAATTTCACTATTCTAACCTGCTGACGAGCTGAGGCAAGTTTCAACAATTCATCTGCCTCTGAGAAATTCATATACCACTGGCTGAGTGGATGATCCTTGGTGTCGCCCCTTCCCTTGTCATTCATAATTTCAACTGGTGCTGCAGAAACAAGCGAACTGATCTTAAAGAAAAGTTTTGATGAACAGAAGTCCAGAACGAAGGCAAAACAAGTAAATTTACCTGGAGCAGGCAGGCTAAAGCCAACAGCAGGCAGCCGTGGCACGATAACAGCTGGATGATTTTGCACACGAGCAAAGAAGCACTCAGAAGGGTCTGGAAAAACAATCTCATTGTATGATTCCATAACCACAGGTTTCTTGGTAGACTGTGGGCCAGATTCATCTTCCGGATATAACTTAAAAAATTAAACCTACAAATTTTGAGCCTAGTTAGCAACCAAGGCACCCCATTTAGCAAGCAACCAAATAAACTCACAAATCCAATTTCCTGTCGCAAACATCACTGTGAAAGAAAAGACTAATCCCAATTTCAAATTCACCCCAACCGCATTCCGATAACTCAAAAGGCGGTGATTCAACAACCCTTGTTGGGTTATTGAAACTGGGATGTAGTTGAGACACAACATGCTTTATCACTGCTCCAAGATCTTCATTTGTCGCCCCACGCACATAAACAGTCCACTTATGTGACTGAGACCTAATTGAAGTACATAAATCTATTTAGTATTATTCAATCACAAAACAAGGGGATACGTATATCATGGAAAAACATACTCGCTAGCCTTTCGACCAAGATAAAAAGCAATAGTTCCATAAACAATTGGAACACAAAGGTCAATATCTTTAACTCTCCGGTTTGTACCCTAGAAATGATAACATAAAACAAATAATGTCATTATAATGGAGAGATAGAGTTCAACTAAAAAGGGGAAATCCTTCCAAGCACTAAACGAAATTCAACATTTCCCAGTTCTTGTTTTCAAATGTTAATAGCAGAATTATGTCTCAGCTCTAATTAGGAATAGAAAATTTTTGTTCTTATGATCTTATAAATCGTTCACGAAAAGGAAGGAAGCATTAAACAACAGCTACAACGTCCCTAGTATTATGCAAATGGAATAATCTTACTAAAAAATCGACGAACCCAGGCAAATCGAAACGTTGTTTTAGTAGGAAATGCAGATAAATGCGACCAAAAGCAATTGAAGAAGCTAAAAGAGAGAACCTTTTTGTCGCTATCGTCAATGGTTTTGCCTAGTTTGATGATGCGCAGCGGCTTAGAAGCAGAGCCACCATCCTCAACTTGGGCTTCGGTAGCCGTGTGAGACATTTCAGCAGACAGTTGAAGTGGGGATTAAAACCAGAAGCCAAAGAAGGGTTTTCACCTTCAATTATAGTATAAGAATTTAGGGGCTTTTTTGATCAATTTTCAGCGGAGAATTGGGATTTTAGTTTTTCTTGGGTGAGGGGAAGAGTGGATGAAAAAGAAGCAACCGAGGGTGGAGAATCATGGTGAAGCACAATCCCACATCAAGTACGAAAAAGGAGGGAGTGGAAGCTGGACTCAATAAATAAGAGGCAACTACGGCCTTTAGAACATACTTACCTGGACGGGGTCAATGGGTGTTCACCAAGGCCCATGGCCTAGGCTAGCGACTTTCATCGCACTTGGAAAGGGCGCTCGCTTAAGGTCTCCCCAAGTGGGAGATCCTACGTCAAAATTTGTGGCAGTGGGGGCCTGCGTTCGCGCGGCCCTCATCCAAACTCAGTTCAATTTGTTCCGTTTTGTTTTTGCGGACCAGAAGTAGTTTTAGGGCCTTAGCAGTGAGTGATCATGCCGTTTTAAACTTCTCTTTACTGTAATTTAGCTTCAGTTGTTAATTATTTGTGTTTTGGTGTCAATTCCTCGAATCTAATGGCTGTCGGCATTTCAGCTCGTCCCCAGCCTACTTCATCAGATTTTATCGGCATCCTTTTTGATAGTGCCAAGCTGCTAACATTACAACATCCGGAATTGTTTTATTTACGTTCCTTGTTTATGGCAATTGTGATCTCCAATAAGGTCCCACAAAACTGCACTGCCTGATGGAGTCTAGGAACCAAATTCGAACACTAACCGATTATAACGGGACTCACTCGATAAATACTCCTACAGTCAAATTAAGCGGGAAAATTGGCTACAACCACAATTGTCACATCCAATGATATCACAATATCATCAACCCGCATTTTCCTTCTCCGACATAACGGTAGATAGAAACGAAGAGTACATCAGTAGCTACATTTTAGCCCGAATCTTTGAAGGAATTAGCATGACCTAGAGCTTGCAAGATGAAGGCTTATTTTCATTATCTATGTATTTTTTTTGGGCAACTGTGACCTGTTAATGCCAATGGACATTATTTCATCTAACTCTACCTAATTTGCGTCCGCGATTTCCTTTTGCCCTTTATTCATGGTGCACCTCATGTTTGGTATCATAATCGAGAAGATAAGGACAGATAAAATAAAGAAAGATGGAAAATGACATCATATAAAAAATCGAAAAAATCACGAGTAAAAGAGACTAATTCATTATAATATCTAAATTTCAAAGATTTGTGATTACAAGTCAACAATTCTAAACATGTCTAACAATAAATCTAATTCTCATTATCTATTTACAAGACTAATTAATTGATGAGAAAGAAACTTAATATTTATAAAGAATCTTGCTTCAAATTTCTACTTTTAGTCAAAAGCTAATATTAAAAAGTACAATAATTATGTACAAATAAAATATGCAACAAAGTTCATACCGTGGGGTTCCTCCCCGCACTCCAAGACCGAAGCTCACAAATTGATCATGTTTACTCTCAATTTATTTCTCCCACCAAACAAAAATTATAATATTAGATTTCCTTTTAATCAAATAATTAGACATAATATTAGTTAGTTTCTCTCATTTGTTCCTTTTTGTTTTCGATCTCTGTTTTATTCATCTTATTTTTCGGATTATAGTAACAGCAGGCGAAAGCTAGAGCATTGTTTTCGCCTTGGGAAGAGGCTATTCAATCTATCAACCTCATAAGCACGAATTTTTTTGTTGTATTTGTTGACTTGAAGCTGTACAAATCCATCCATTTTTCAAGTCTTCGAACGTGATAGCCCGTTTGTCTTGCTCAATTACGTCAAAGATCATACCTTTTTAGTCATTCAGACAAGGAAAGAAGTTTGAAACATACTGGTATGGATGTAAATGGATGATAATGTCATTAAATAAAGTTTATTTCACAAAGCATATGACCTACCAACACATGGATGCATGTTCTATAAGTTGATTTCCACCTCACCTTTGTTGGAAAAAAGCCGCCCCTGGCTTGTTCATGTTCCACGATCACAGCAGTTACTTGCCATGATTCCGACGGAGTGTTCTGCATATTGTCGTGTTCGAAGATTCGGGTTTGAATTTCTGGACAATTTTGTATTTCTTCAAATTAAACTAATGACGAGCATCAGGGCATGCTAATTTGCTCTCAGAAAAGCACCAGGTGCAATACATTAAACGCATGCACATGTGAGTGCATTCATATTGTTCAATCAACCTTTTCTGTTTTTTCAGCAAAGATGGAGATCTTATCCTCAAAAGGAAATATTTTATTTCTAAAAATGGGGTAACAGACACTTTTGAGACGATTAACACACTCAAGCAAAGCTAGCCCATGTTAATAAATTAAGAATTTCTATAAAAGCAGAAGATAAATAGACACCTCCAGAACGATTCAATGCCATACAAAGCTAAAGGGGGCGTCATATTCCACTACCTTTTCCATTTCCCACATCGGCTGTTCTTTGTTTGACCATCCATTTTTTAAATCTAGCTAGGAGGATTGTACAGATTCTTTAGAGATTGAATTTAGGATTTATCTTATTTAAGATTATGACGTTCAAATTCGAATCTTTAAGGAAGAAGAACAAAATTTTCTAAACTATTGATATTATTTCAAGAATTTTTCTATTAATATCTTGTTGAATGATGTATATTTGTAAGGTAAATTCTATGATTGTAAAGAATAAATAAAAAGCGCCGCTGAGAGAAAGTTAATTGTGAAACATTCTATTGGCAGCCTCA